GTGTTGTCATTCTGATGTTTTTCTTCTTCTCCCTTTTACTTGCACGTGTTTTTAAATAAACGTCATGACCTGGGTTTATACATTGCATATTATCGGTGCTTTACCCACGGTATGTGCAATCGAGTCAGAATACACACCTTCCTAAAATGTCCTCTGGCAAAATCTCGGCGCAGTGCGTCGGCTTTCCGGGACAAAGCCGCTCGCTGTTTGGCGTTCTTCGGCTTCCCATCGCGTCTCTCCAGGACACGCACCCAGAACGACTTCAGCCTTGGTGACAGTCCTTGTCTTGTTGCCTCCCAAATGCCCTGGGAAAAGATTGTGTTTCATTCATTTACAAAGTGAATTATATAATTACACAGGGATCGAGAGAGAGAGAGAGAGAGAGAGAGAGAGAGAGAGAGAGAGAGAGAGAGAGAGAGAGAGAGAGAGAGAGAGAGAGAGAGAGAGAGAGAGAGAGAGAGAGAGAGAGAGAGAGAGAGAGAGAGAGAGAGAGAGAGGAGAGAGAGAGAGAGAGAGAGAGAGAGAGAGAGAGAGAGAGAGAGAGAGAGAGAGAGAGAGAGAGAGAGAGAGAGAGAGAGAGAGAGAGAGAGAGAGAGAGAGAGAGAGAGAGAGAGAGAGAGAGAGAGAGAGAGAGAGAGAGAGAGAGAGAGAGAGAGAGAGAGAGAGAGAGAGAGAGAGAGAGAGAGAGAGAGAGAGAGAGAGAGAGAGAGAGAGAGAGAGAGAGAGAGAGAGAGGAGAGAGAGAGAGAGAGAGGAGAGAGAGAGAGAGAGAGAGAGAGAGAGAGAGAGAGAGAGAGAGAGAGAGAGAGAGAGAGAGAGAGAGAGAGAGAGAGAGAGAGAGAGAGAGAGAGAGAGAGAGGAGAGAGAGAGAGAGAGAGAGAGAGAGAGAGAGAGAGAGAGAGAGAGAGAGAGAGAGAGAGAGAGAGAGAGAGAGAGAGAGAGAGAGAGAGAGAGAGAGAGAGAGAGAGAGAGAGAGAGAGAGAGAGAGAGAGAGAGAGAGAGAGAGAGAGAGAGAGAGAGAGAGAGAGAGAGAGAGAGAGAGGAGAGAGAGAGAGAGAGAGAGAGAGAGAGGAGAGAGAGAGAGAGAGAGAGAGAGAGAGAGAGAGAGAGAGAGAGAGAGAGAGAGAGAGAGAGAGAGAGAGAGAGAGAGAGAGAGAGAGAGAGAGAGAGAGAGAGAGAGAGAGAGAGAGAGAGAGAGAGAGAGAGAGGCAGTGGACAGGGAGAAGAGACAGGGAGAAGAAATGAAGGACAGACGGACATGATCTGTTGCTTTATCAATCACACAAGTATATGCAAAATGGGTGGCTTAACTTTGACAGCTTGAGCACTTTTGTGTTTCTGTTTGTTTGGCACTTATGACCATGTTATGACGACATACAGCATTGTAAGGTGAGGTTATAATGAGGGCGGCGGCAACGGCCGGAAAACAGTTTATTCATTCCTTTAGGCCCGAGAGCTTTGTGTAAAAACATCATGTTTAACACAATTAGCTGTTCCTTGCAAACATTGTTTTACGATAGGCTGCAGGGTTTACAGGTCCGTTTACGAAGCAGTAATGCAAATTCACCAATATAAATAAATACAGAAGACACCATAACAACGTAAGACAGTCGGTACATACCTGGTAGCTTATGCGGCGCCGCTGTTCCGGCGTCAGCGCTGGAAGGCCCGTCCGGTCAGTCGGCACACGCAGCTCGGTCTCCGAACCGTCCCCGCCGGCTGACACACCGCACACCCGTCCCGACACCGTGCCAGTGCCGTCAGCGCAAGGCGGCGGCTCGACAGTCGCGGTAGCTCCGGCGCAGGCCTGCACCGGAGCTACCACGTCAGCGTTCACTGATCGCGGCACAGACTTGCGGTCACAGGCTGATTCGACGTCCGGGGTGCGTCTCTTCGGCGTCACCGGCGATCTCGGAGGGCCAGATATCTCCTTCGCGCGGCCTCGCTGGCTGACGAGATTGCTCGGCGCTGCGGCAGACCGGGTGCAATTCACTTCCGCAGCCCGTTGTGGCGGTGATGAGCGGCTCGTCTTCAACTCACCAGCCTTCGTCACGTCATTCTCCACAACCCAGATGAGTCTGCCGGTCCCGGAGACGGCGCCGCAGTCACCATCCTCAATCACCTCGATTAGCTCCGTGAAGGCGACGCCGCCGCCTGCAGACGCCTCCTCATCAGACACCTGGGACGAGCAGTCCGTCTCCGTGTAGATGTCGATCAGCGGCGAGCCGACGCCGTCCGAGTGTGCCGCCCACAGCTCAGACAGCACGCAGTCGGGGATGTCCGCCGGTACGGCGGTGCCGCCGTTTGAGGACGAGGACGCCACGGCCAGCGGCGGCGGCGGCGGCGGCGGCGCCTCTTCACCGGCAGACCACGACATCGCCCCGACAATGTGTAATTCCCGACAGGAGGTGCATCGGTGGCCAACGAGGTAGGTCGACTAAGTACGACCACGCAGCCGGACTCCGGAGAGGCGCCCGATCACCCGGGAAGCAGCATGCCGTCTATCAGCCGCACCTGAGAAAGAGAAAGCCGTCAGTTTTCAGAGCTACACATATCGGGATACTCCAAGCTACTCGTATATGTCACCAGACAGTCCACTGTCACCGGAGGGGACGTATGACTACTGAGGTGTCAGCAGGGGTCACATCACAGGTCATGTCACCAGACCGTCCACCATCACCGGAGGGGACGTATGACTACTGAGGTGTCATCAGGGGTCACAGGTCAGGTCACCAGACAGACCACTGTCACCGGAGGGGACGTGTGACTACTGAGATGTCAGCAGGGGTCACAGGCCAGATCACCAGACCGTCCACCGTCACCGGAGACTACTGAGGTGTCAGCAGGGTCACAGGTCAGGTCACCAGAAAGACCACTGTCACCGGAGGGGACGTATGACTACTGAGATGTCAGCAGGGGTCACAGGTCAGGTCACCAGACAGACCACTGTCACCGGAGGGGACGTATGACTACTGAGGTGTCAGCAGGGGTCACAGGTCAGATCACCAGACCGTTCACCGTCACCGGAGACTACTGAGGTGTCAGCAGGGTCACAGGTCAGGTCACCAGACAGTCCACTGTCACCGGAGGGGACGTATGACTACTGAGGTGTCAGCAGGGGTCACAGGTCAGGTCACCAGACAGACCACTGTCACCGGAGGGGACGTATGACTACTGAGGTGTCAGCAGGGGTCACAGGTCAGGTCACCAGACCGTCCACCGTCACCGGAGACTACTGAGGTGTCAGCAGGGGTCACAGGTCAGGTCACCAGACCGTTCACCGTCACCGGAGACTACTGAGGTGTCAGCAGGGTCACAGGTCAGGTCACCAGACAGTCCACTGTCACCGGAGGGGACGTATGACTACTGAGGTGTCAGCAGGGGTCACAGGTCAGGTCACCAGACAGACCACTGTCACCGGAGGGGACGTATGACTACTGAGGTGTCAGCAGGGGTCACAGGTCAGGTCACCAGACCGTCCACCGTCACCGGAGACTACTGAGGTGTCAGCAGGGGTCACAGGTCAGGTCACCAGACCGTTCACCGTCACCGGAGACTACTGAGGTGTCAGCAGGGGTTACAGGTCAGGTCACCAGACAGACCACTGTCACCGGAGGGGACGTATGACTACTGAGGTGTCAGCAGGGTCACAGGTCAGGTCACCAGACAGTCCACTGTCACCGGAGGGGACGTATGACTACTGAGGTGTCAGCAGGGTCACAGGTCAGGTCACCAGACAGACCACTGTCACCGGAGGGGACGTATGACTACTGAGGTGTCAGCAGGGTCACAGGTCAGGTCACCAGACAGACCACTGTTACCGGAGGGGACGTATGACTACTGAGGTGTCAGCAGGGGTCACAGGTCAGGTCACCAGACCGTCAACCGTCACCGGAGGGGACGTATGACCACTGAGATGTCATCAGGGGTCACAGGTCAGGTCACCAGACAGACCACTGTCACCGGAGGGGACATGTGACTACTGAGATGTCAGCAGGGGTCACAGGTCAGGTCACCAGACAGACCACCGTCACCGGAGGGGACGTGTGACTACTGCGAGGTCATCATGGGTCACAGGTCAGATTACCATACCGTCCACCGTCACCGGAGACTACTGAGGTGTCAGCAGGGTCACAGGTCAGGTCACCAGACAGACCACTGTCACCAGAGGGGACGTATGACTACTGAGGTGTCAGCAGGGGTCACAGGTCAGGTCACCAGACAGACCACTGTCACCGGAGGGGACGTATGACTACTGAGGTGTCAGGAGGGGTCACAGGTCAGGTCACCAAACAGACCACTGTCACCGGAGGGGACGTATGACTACTGAGGTGTCAGCAGGGGTCACAGGTCATGTCACCAGACCGTCCACCATCACCGCAGGGGGCGTATGACTACTGAGGTGTCATCAGGGGTCACAGGTCAGGTCACCAGACAGACCACTGTCACCGGAGGGGACGTGTGACTACTGAAATGTCAGCAGGGGTCACAGGTCAGGTCACCAGACAGACCACCGTTACCGGAGGGGACGTATGACTACTGAGGTGTCAGCAGGGCTCACAGGTCAGGTCACCAGACAGTCCACCTTCATGAGAGGGGACGTCTGACCTCTGCTGTCCTCTCAGCAATCACCTGTCCCCTCTGGAGATGATGGTTCACCTGTCTGGTGAAATCACCAGACCCTCCACCATCTCGAGAAGAGGCACGCTGACAGGTCACGAAATCTCACCGATGTAAGGTGGCCTCACTAGACTTCAGAGGTGTTGTGGGATGCACACTGAGATGGTGTGGGGCCTCTCAGCACCTTTTGTCTCAGACTTGGGAGAGGCTTTGTATGTAGACTAATTATCCTTGTGGTGACATGACCATTAAAAGTCAGTGACATTAGTGGTCTGTTCCTTAGCCAGCTGTAAGCTGATGTGGTAACCTTGAACCCAGCTGTCCAGTATGTGCTGTGTGTCATAGGTGCTCACATAGAAGTGTCTGGGGTGCAGTGCATAGCTTTGTAGTGCCTGTAAGTCCTGTGTCTCACATGGCTGTGCTCCACACCAGCATTGGCAAGTGGCAATTGTTGTTTTCTGCTCTCAACACATCCTCAGCCTTGTCATAAAAAGAGAGGTAGGTACCTAGAACATAATTTATCTTCCTTCAAAATACATAATGACATTTTAAACACACAGATACTCAAGCTAGGGCAATGCTATCAGAAATACCAGAAGTTATAAGAGGTTATACAGTGATACCCTTTGCACAGAAGTCATTTGTACGGCACCGCAAAGTGTGTAGATCGTCCTTGCTGTTGTCACGAGTCAACGTAACATTCTGAACCACAATCTATTATCTGTCGGAGAGGCCAACGTCACCTAACGTTTTCATTGTACCGTAAAATGGGGTGTTAAGGGACAGTGGGGTGTTAAGGGACAGTTGCATGGGAAAAACTTTGAGTCATATTAACTTCCTAATTTGAGAAGGTTCAATAAAAACTTCAGTGTGGTAGTTGACACTGTTTTGCTCTTGACCATAGGACAAAATGGTATGGTTTTTCATGCAAGTGATTTGGTTCAAAAATGGATTTGAAAATCATGCTACATTTTCACAAAATTGAAACATCTCCAAAACTCTGTGTGTACCACATAAACTGGTGGGTGTACAGGGAAAATGAATGCATAGGTGTATTGTCACATGTATTGCACATGTTTCCTGAAAAGCTTGTGCAAATCCACCCATTCATTCATCATGCTCTTCCTCTTTTCCGGATACATGCATATTTTGAGGTGGATGTGGGGTGCTAAGGGACAGGGAAGAAAAAATAGAAAATAATATCTAAATATAATTTCATTAAGTTTTCTTTCAGTAGGCATGGAAAACACCAAATTCCACATAAAATGCTGGCAAGTTCATGCTTTTATCTCTAACACATCTTAAGTTATGTAACAAAACATCTCAACACTCTCTTTTACAATGATGGGTCAATGGAGACTGATGTAGGTAAATGTGATGTCATCATAAAAAGGCTAAAACAAAGAGGGCAACATAATGACAAGTGACTAGCTTCAACATGGGTTTTAATTGATGACAGAAGATTACTTTTTGGTTCTGTTTACTGTATAATTAGCACATTTTCCACAAATGTAAACTGCATTACACGTAATTGGCTAAAAAGGTCATTAGTGGTGAATGAACCTGACTTGTTTTGTGACAGAATATGCAAAACATTTCAATAAATAAATTGTGTGCCCTTCCACACCCCAATTGTGGGCATTTGATGACCATTTCTTGGAATAATATAGGTGTCCCTTAACACCCCACATTGGGGTGCTAAGGGACAGTGATGAAAAATAATAAAAAATAATATGCAGGTATAAATCTTAAAAACTTTAATGTGGCAGGCATGTAAAGCACCAAATTCCACATAAAACGCTGACAATTTGATGCTTCTATCTCCAACCCTTCTTGAGTTATATAACAAAACACCTCGAAACTGTCCCTTAACACCCCATTTTACGGTAGTTAATTCAATCTGATTAGTGTCACGCCATCTCATAAAACACTTACTCTTCACATTTGGTTGGGTTAGGTTAGGTTTTTTAGGTTATTTCCGCCACATGTGAGTATCATTTTTGGATTCCGGATGTCAAATAATGTAAGGAAGTGCAAATTTTATCTTCGAACAGCAGACCGTACTAATTCTCCACATTTACCGACTTGTTAACCTCTGGAAGTCTTCCTGCTGATGTTGTCACTGCTCCAGATCTGCAGTCTTTCAAACGAGGCCTAACAGATGCCATTCCGGACAAACTTGTTGAATATGTTTAGATGTACCTAAGTAAATTGTTATATTGTTGTGATAATCTCCTGTGAAAAAATGATGTTTCAAACCATGTACTCCTCAATGGTGGCACAACATTCCAGTTCAATGTATGGCAAGACTGCAATGGTGTACTGTACAGCATATGCATAACTGGCGCGCCTTGTGATGCAGGGTACCTCCCATCCTCAACCATCCTGTGAGCCAATTTGAATTCTGTACTGACTGTTGTAGTGGATGGAACCCGACAAGGTGAGTTGACAAGGTGAGACAGACTATGAGCAGTGTCTCAAGTAAATACTTGCCATTTCTACCGACTACCTTATAGCAGACTCACTATTGCAACTCTGCCATGCGAATCCAACTTGCATCTAGCTGTGGAATACTTGGCGCAACTCTCTGTCATTCACCGTTTCCTTACTTCTCGATCTGATGGAAGGAGGATATGAAACAGGAGAGTCTAACAGGTGAGCATCAGCACATCATCAGACATGTGCTTACCATGTCTGATGATTTGAGCAAATAGACCTTCGATTATTCGATTAAAACCAGCACAATATCACACCACGATATTTTTTTTTTTTTTTTTTTTTTTTTTTTTTTTTTTAGTGGCCCTAACTTACGTTACCGGCCTCGCGAGGAGGGCGGCGACCTAACTACGCCGCGCAAAACAAACCGGCCGTCCTAACTAAGACCGGTGGCCACTTTTACAGCAAGACAACATGGGAAAACCCATATCCATGTACTATGCCATGAATATGGGAAAAAAACCCATGAATTTACGTTAAGACACATAAATGACAGTGAAACTTACCGGTAAATTGATGTTTGTGAAGGGAGGGAAGGAGGAAGTTTGTGAATGGTAAGGTTACGAGAGTTTGATGACAGGAATGGTTTGAAGAGTGGGGGATATGTCGCTGGGAGGGATGGGGTTTGTGAATGTTTAAGCGTCACGATGAAAGGAATGGTTTGGAGGATGGGGAATCTGTCGCTGCTGCAGTTGGCGGCCGACGGTTGTCTGTGGTCGTTCAACCCGGCCGCCGCCGCTGTTCAGCGGCCGGGGTCCGCTGGTGTAGCTCGCTGGGCCGCTGAGCCTCTAAGCCTGCTCCAGCGGCAGGAGAAAACCCGTCTGCCACCGAAGCTCTGTGTTTCGGCACCAGCGAAAAACCCGACCCATCCCGTATCACAAGTCAGCCTGGTGGTAGCGAAACGGGCGCCTGCTAACAGTCAAGGCCGTTAAAGTAGCTCTGAGTAGGGTGATGTTAGGACGAAATCAAGTACCAGGTTTGTCAATGTTGTGTCGTCCCCGAGAAGCGTCGGGAGGTCGTTTTTAAGGTGTTGTACCGCAAGATAGTTAGTGATGTGTCTTCGTTCGTGATGCAATGCCGTGCATGCGATCAAAATGTGCTCTACGGAGATGCGTGTGTCGCAGGTGTGGCAAATCGGAGGGCCCGTCCTATCAAAAAGGTGGCCATGGGTGAGGCGAGTATGACCACACCTCAATCTGGCCAGGGTCACCTCGCGTATCCTGTCTGGTTGGTTACATGTGACCCATGTTCTAAGTTCTCGTTTGATCGCATACATATGTGCAGCATGATGTTGGTCCCATTTGCGTTGAAGGTACTCGGCGAATTTGATTTTTATCATATGAATAGCGTCCCCTTGGGCCATAGGTTCCACAACTGGATCAGGTCGCATTGCAGCCTCCTTTGCGAGGACATCCGCACGTTCATTTCCTGCAATACCGTAATGACCTGGAACCCAAAGAAGGGTCACATGCTGGCCCTCATTGAGATCTGATGTGATCCTGAGAATATTGTAGATACCGTGGTGGGTAACATTATCGGTCCTTTCCAGTGCTTGAAGAGCGGATTTCGAATCAGTACAGATGGTTGCCCGATCAATCTTTTCTGCCTTGATGTGCTCCATAACTTTTTCGATTGCGTGAACTTCGGCACTAAAGACTGTCGTAAATTCTTGAAGCCGGGTCCCAAACCTAAGCCCAGGGCCGACGGCTGCTGAACCTATCTGATTTTCGTGACATGAGCCATCTGTGAAGAAAAAAGCAGAGTCGCAGTTGAGCTCTACATACTCCTGGAAGAGCATTTGAGCTTCCACCGGAGGTATACTGGTCTTCTTATAATCAAAAAGAAATTCAATGGATAGGTCTTTGAGGAGCCAAAATGGAATCATAGGAGGATTTAGAGTAACTTCAGTGCGCCTAATGTTTAGCAGTTGATGAGCTTGCTCAAGGCACCCGGGTAGAAAGCACGATCTACGCAGTGGGCGTCGGGTTCTTGGTTTCCTCGCCTCCATTGCTGGTACCGCAATGTGATTTCGAACACTTTTTGCTCTGTAGTAATAGCGGAGGAAAAGAAAGACGCGTCGGTCATCAAGTGCTGGAATGCCGGTATCTGCACGAAGCGCAAGAACTGGCGATGTGCGAAAAGCCCCAGTTAGAAGTCTCAAGCACGTTGATTGAACGGCTTCTAGACGTTTGCATAAACTGGGCGACAGTGTGCTAAACAGATAACAATTGTACTCAATCGTAGATCTGATTAGCCCAATATACAACATTTGCAATGTTTTCCTGTCCGCACCCCAAGAAAACCCACATATGCATCTTAGGACATTGATTCGTTTAATACAACGTGCTCTTAGGTGCTCAACGTGTTGACGGAAGGTTAGATTAGTATCCAAAATGATCCCTAGAAATTTGTGTGACGTGGAAAAAGGTATTTTAATCCCATCGATGTGTGGGGATCTTTCAAGCGATGGACGGGGTCCACGTTTGAAGACCATCATGACTGATTTTGGTGCTGACAAAAAGAATCCCCATTTTGTGCACCATTTAACGCAGTGATCAACCACTGTTTGCAATATAGAATAAGCCTGTTTGTAGTTTTTGTGGGATACCCATATTGCTATATCATCAGCAAAAAGCGAATAGCGGACAGAAAATGTTAGAACACGTGGCAGGAGTAGGAGCATATCGTTCAGGGCAATCAAGAACAGCGTAGGTGACAGCACGCTGCCTTGAGGGACGCCATGTTCCATTACAAAGTCGTCAGAAAGTGTCGCTTGGCAACGAACTTTGAAAGTTCGGGGTTTTAGGAAATTTTGAAGAAACGCAGCCAAATGGCCTCTGATTCCGATTGAGTGCAGCTTATAAATTATCGTCGAACTGTGTACCTTGTTGAAGGCTGACATTAGATCTAGGAAAATAGCAACAGTCGGTCGCCTATGTTCCCAGTTTACCTGGATGTCCGAGATAAGGCGAATGATATTGTCTGCCGTACTACGATTTTTCTGAAAACCGCTTTGACATATATCAATGCAATGGTTGCTCTCAAGGTAAAATCGCAGGCGCCTGTTTACCATTCTTTCGAAAATCTTGGAGACACAATTGGTTAGTGAGATTGGGCGATACGAATTTGCGTCGTGCTGGTCTTTGCCGGGTTTGAGGATAGGTATGATTATACTTTTAAGCCATTCATCCGGGAAGTTGTCCTCAGTCCATAGTTTGTTGAATGCTATCAGTAGTGTGGAAAGGTTAAGTTCGTTCAATTTTGTGAAAAAAGATCATGGAATGGAGTCTGGTCCTACCGAAGTTTTAGTGCTTGCCTTTGCTAGGGATAGTTTAAGTTCTCTTAGGGTAAAAGGAGCATTGTATGGTTCAGAGTTTGCAGAAGAAAAATCAAGATTTACTGTTCTATTAACGAGAGCTCGATGCACGCTCAAGGAGTAAATATCTGTAGACGATGTGTTGGCAAAGTGTTGGGCAAATATATTTGTGACGGTAACTGGGTCAGTTACGAATATATTGTTTGAAAGCAATTGCGGAAAGGCACCTAAATTAGTTCGTCGTGAGGCGAAAGCACGAACATGACTCCAGAGTTCGCTGAGCGGGGTAAAACGATTACATTTAGCGGCATAGTTTTGCCATGCCGCCTTCTTTTCTTTGTATATAGTTTCCGCACATTCTTTACGGGCAGCGGTATACAGTTGGGCATGTCTGGGACATATGCATCTCTGGAAGTTTCTGAAGGCTCTTTTTCTTATTGCTTTGGCTCTTTGGCATTTCCAGTTCCACCAGACAAGATTTTTAGATTCATTTGCAGTTCCAATCTTAATAGTTTTTTCTTTTAGCGTTTCACTGGCCGATTTCTTCATAGCCCCCATAAAATTGGAAATGGTCTGAGACAGGCCGTAGGGAGCATGTCTGTTGACCTTTGCGTTAAAGCCCGACCAATCCGCGTTATTTGTTTGCCATACCTTCAGTGTCGGTGCTGGTGACAGCGTGGTTGCACTGGTAAGCATGATGTGAATTGGATAATGGTCTGAAAACAGCGGATCCGATGTTACGGTCCATCTAAAGAGCGGTGCGATCCTCGGGGAAGAAATTGACAAGTCAATTGCAGAGGTTGTGTGGTAGCTACTACTGACAAACGTTGGGTTGCCGTCGTTCATAGCTACAAGGGACTGGCGGTTTAGTGCAGCTTCAATTATCCTGCCTCTCGGCGATAAGTGTCGGCTGCCCCATAGTGGACTATGACCATTGAAATCGCCGAGCAGAAGGCAATTTTCTGGCATTTGCTCTAGAAGGTCATTCAGATTTTGCTGGTTTACAACAGTTGCATTTGGCGGCAAATACACTGAAACAACCAACAACTCGCGGTTTAGTAGTGAAACAGTAGCTGCTACAACATTTAGCGGGGAAGCTATGTTTGTTTTCCGTTGTGACACTGAGTTTGCTACATAAAGAGCTACGCCACCCTGTCTATTTGCTAGATTTATGTCCTGTCTGTACAAAGTATATCCAGCCACATTGTAATTGTAATGATCTGTGCTTTTAAAATGAGTTTCCTGAATCGCCGCTAGAAGAGGAGCTTCCTTTTGTATATACTGTTTAAATTCAGACAAATGGGATAGAAGTCCTCCTACATTCCATTGAAGCAAAAAATCCATTGCAGCAGCTATCTAGTTTGTTTGGCGCGCTATTCTGGGATGAAGGATCGTCTGGTCACGACCTGGGTACGAAGGCCCACATTTTTCCTCTCCTTTGTTGAGCGTGCTCGGAGGCGAGTTTTGGGGCCTTCTGCATGGAGGGTGAGCTGAGTGTCGGAATCGCTGTCATCAATGACTGATGGCGATCGCAGGACGGAAGACACGGCGACCATTTTGGGGGTCTCCTCGTCCTCGCTCGTCGTATTGGCATCATAGCATGTGTCGTCGTCGGAATCTGTAGCCCTTGTCCGGTGGAGTGGTGTAACTACGGAGACGCCAGTTGGGTTGCTGGGGGACATTTCACAGGTGCCTGGTGTTTGGGCCTGGTGTCGTGTCCCACCACTTTTGTGCGGGCCTGTTTCTCGCTGATCAACCACGGTGGGAGAGTCAGGGTGGACTGTCTTGGGTGTCGGTGTCGACCGGGCGCAGCCTACATCGATAGACCGAGCGAGTTCCGGCGTCGCGGCCGTGCGCTTCCGAGCATGGGTGCTTGGGTGGTCTGGCGGGCTCGTGTCTTTGCGGGCTGGTGGCGTCAGCTTTGCGTGACGTGCGACATGGGGCAGATCCCGAGGGGGTGGGAGCTCTGGCCAGTCCTGTGGGCGGTTTGCAGCCTGGGATATCTGAGCCTGTGTTTGTCCCACATGGCGCGGGACTCCCTCGTGGTGGGAGGTGCTGGGCTGGGTCATGGGGGGTGACCCACCGTGGGTGCCAGCCACGTGTCCAGATCTGCGTTGTGTGGCCTCGCGGAGCTCCTGCACCTTTGCAACCCACACGGGACAGTTCTTGTCAGTCACTGGGTGCGGTCCATTGCATGCAGCACAGTGGGGAGGGGCGACACACCCTGTAGACGGATGCTCCTCTGAGCAACGTTTGCATATTTCAGCACGAGACCTACATGTGCCTTGTCCGTGTCCATAACGCTGGCACTTGCCACAGCGCCGAGGCAGCTGGTGAGATGGCCTGACTTCATAGCGCATGTACACTGCATAAAGGTGTTCAGGCAGCTGTGTGGCCGAAAACCTCACCTTGAGCAGTGGGTTCGGTCTGGAATTTTTTGAAGGGAGGCGTGTGACACTTGTGACACCCTGGTCACGGCTTTCCTCAAGTATGGTTTGAGGAGACTCCATTGAGAGCTCAGGGGCATAGACCATCCCCTCCACCTGGTTTAGGCGGTCTGCTGGAATTACAGAGATGTCCTCCCCCCTGAATGACCTCCAGGCTAGCAGAGCCTCGGTCTGGTACATGTCCCTCGTTTTGACAAGCAGAGAGCCGCTTCGAAGTGCAGAAACCTTAGCAGCTGCATAATGGATCACGTCCAGGAGCTCATCTCGAATTTTGTAAGGGCTGAAGTTCCGAAAGCTTTGGTTTTTTTCCTTAAATCTCACGAGGAGGTAAGCAGGTCCAGTGGGAAGGAACTGACCTTCGTCAGTAGCGGTAACCGCCTTGGAGAACATGGCTGGCATAGCTGGAGAGAACGACACCAAAAAGCGAGATAATCTTGTGAGGAAATTACAAGTCTTGCCAAAGAGTAGTCAACAAAAAATGAAGACGTGAAGAGGAGGGAAAGCAGACTCACCGTGGAATCTTGCTTTAATAGTGGGAAGCCGCTCGGGCAGAGTGAGACGAATGAGACGAAAAGCTGTCGAGACTAAATCCACCAGAATTCAATTTCACGCAAAGACAAGGCTATTTTTGATAAAAAAGAAATGCTGAACAGGACGGGAACAGAATATCCCGTAAAAAACACCCTAGCACTTAAGGGAAACTGCAAAAAGTCTACTAATCTATAAAACCACGCGAACCACGCCGTCAACCGATTCGTTGGTCGAGTCTGTATATATATATATATATATATATGACCACGATATTCACACAGAAATATTGTTTGCGCCAATTTGGTCTGCCATGCGTCATAAAGCCAATCAATTGATTCTTATTTTTGATCTTTGATTTCTCAGTTTTTTAGGCTTGCCGCGCTTAGATTTTATCACCATCGTGATCAGGAGATTTTAATCTATCGCTGGGATAAATTTCAATAGATTCCTAGGGGTCCGCACATAAATTTTATTTTGTAAAAGGCAACCACGCATAATTTGGTAATGTCATATCTCAGCTCGTAGGGCGTGCCGCGCCTAGATATTAACACCATTGTGATCAGAAGATGAAAATATATAGTAGAAATGAGTTTCAAAAAATTCCTAGGGGTCCGCATACAATGTATTTTTGATAATGGGCAACGGTGCGTGACCTTTGACCTCTTATGACTCCGTTCGTAGGTCGTGCCGCGCTTATTTATAATCAACATCGTAATCAGAAGATTTTATTGTATCAGTGGACCAATTTGCAAGAGATTCCTAGGGGTCCGCTGATAGTTTTTATCATTTTTTCCACGCGAATACGAATTTGACGCCAAATATACGCACATGTGGTCTGTGGATGTTGCGCATCGCGTGCGGTTGCACGTTGTGCACATTCGCTCTTGAGGGAGCCTAGTCATAACGCAATGGCCTTTTTATGCTTATTTCACACTTTGCTTAGCTGCATCCGTGACACGGTGACATTTTCAGCAGGAGCGCTTATATTTTTAGCAGCGTACGGCCACGGGGGATGTCTGTGTCAAATCATGCCTGCATCACTGAGAGTGACACTGGACACACAACTGAAACGCATGCACGAGGTACAAGGACCCACGTCATCGGCAGAGTGTTACTGACGCATAAGAAGCGGCACTGGTTCTGAGTTCTGACACTGACCGATACTGATTCTGACAGCGACACTCGCGGTGTCACCCTCCACTGAGATGTCGGTGATCGGTCGTCGCACCGGTACCGGCGGCGGCCCCCTTGCCCGCGGGGAAGGTCAGCGCGGCGCCCGGCCGGCCTCTGATGGGACGGCGATAGCCCCGGACGCCGGGAGGCGCGGCTCGCCGCTCCGCCAACCCGCGGCCGGGCCAGTTTGTTTGGACGACTGAGGCCGCGTGTGCCCGCCGTCAGTGTCAGCTGAGTGTCAGCGCCCTGACAGACAGCCTGGCCGGTCAGATAGCCGCCGTCTACAACTCACGTGACTCACCAACTCATCACTCAGCAGGTGAGTTCAGCCGCGGAGCTGAGTTACTGAGTGGTTTAGTAGGCTGCCTCAGTCTGCATGGCCTGTCTGTCCTGGTCAAAGAAAAAGAAGGTAGGTACCGATCGGACAAGAAGTGGTAGAAGACAGAAATACTGGCGTCAGTTTGAGCGGTCGATGTTTTACCTAGCTAGGTATCTTTGGTTCACCTATTATTTCCTAATACCTGGAGAACGTTTAATCCCAAACGACTTTTTAATATCTTGCGCATATTTGTCTGAGCGGTTTGATTTTTACCGCCGATCGTAATTCATCGTCATAGGCTAGGTAAAACTGCACGCGAAGGTAAATCAATAAAGATTTAATTAAATGTTTTCATTGTGATTTTTCACATAGCCCATGCTCATGTGTAAGGTAATGACACAATAAATGTCGTGTAACAGTGTTTGATCAGCTCCTGCCGGCTACTCATCGTCTCATTAAATTTACAATTTTCGTGTTTCTCAAGCGTCGCCGGGCTGCATTTTGACAGGGTGCGAACGGATAAGTTCAGCGACCACCGAATGGATGCACATGACATTATAGCTGTCAGCACGAGCGGTATCAGTATCTGTTGAATGATTCAAGGGCGGTGAATCCGTTTGACATTGATGGGTCACATCACACATGACGCTAGCCCCTACCCTGCATTGATATTTGGCTAAGGATTCTTATTCTTGTCTAAAGAGCGGAGCGTGTTAAAGATCTGCATCTTTTTTATCATCTTTTGTCTTCATCTTTCGTTCGCTCCCTAGATTATAGGCAGTCGTACCTACTCATGTGCGTAAAGGGGTTAACTGCCAACACGGTTATAGAAGCGCCTTCGTAATGCAACAATTATGGCAGCGTCTCATTGAAATCTGTTAACGCTAAGTGCCATACAGATGTCCCGAGTCTCCGACCGTCTCCTCCCGAGTTACCGGTGTGAAGCGCCGTGTCGCTGTGACGGTGTCGCTCAATTTACGGCGATGCGCGAAATAAAGGTGTCTGGTCTCCGGGATACGACATTGATTTCTGCCAGCACACATCATACTAAGAGAATTGTAAAACTAATATAATATCACAAAGGAATATTAATAACTTATTTTTAGTTCTGTACCTAAATGAGTGTTGCAAGGATGAGTGTTGCCTAAATTTGCGAGGACAGGTATGACGTTTTACAGTGACCGTAGGGGACATTGCACCTTTGCTCGCGCGCCCCGCACTCTCCTGCGTTTTGGTGTCGCCGCAGGATGCGTCTGCTGGTGCACTCAGCTCGCCAGGTGGTCCAGGTGTGTGACCAGGGTCAGAGGTCACTCCGGGGAGCCGACATGGACCGGCTGGCCGTACTCACCGCCGAGACCGACTCGGCCGGACTGGCCGTCGCCGTCGACAGGTGGGGCACACGGATCGGAGTGAGGCACGCATCAGCCATGCTAAACTCTGATTTTGAATATGACGTCCGGCGACCGGCAGCCGTATACGAACAGCAGTCCGCAGTCCGCACTCAACAACGTCGTGCAGGGTCGCAGCACGCGGTTCGTAATATAGCATCCGGGCTATTTTTATCAAACTACGTACAATCAATGCGCTGGTCTACGTCGGACGAAGACCAGCTTAGTTCTCTATATACCGTGACTGGCTTTTTACGTTTAGTCGATGCAGCAACTACGTAGCCCGTAGGTACTATAGGTACTACAGCGACCGGAGCGAGTATCGAAACGTTCACGGATAAAAAATAAATTCAGCAATGATCTCGCCTAAATCGTTAGTCTAGGTACTCTAAAGACTAAAATCGTATTTGATCATTGATCGTAAATCGTTAGCAGCTAAGTCGTAATTCAGTTAAAATAAATACATCAAGCGCCTCAACGATCTAACGATTTACGATTAACGATTTTTTTATAATGATTCTAGCCTTAGGTACGACTTAAGAAAGGTTATTGCTGCATTTATCGTCTCAACCTGTCCAGTGTCCATATCCAATGTCATGCTCATGTGTAAATTAGCGGTGTAAGTTTTGGGCCTGACCTCATCTATCCCGAGGGAATTACCGTCAATGCATCATAGCCTGTAAAAAAGTTTTACGTAGTTTCGGTCTCTCCCCTTCTCGCCACCATTATTGTCGCCTCAGGTGGCCGTCTCGATTCCCGTTTCTCGCGACAGACTGGATCGAATCGTCCACGTGCCCGTTACGGTCCCATCTGACCGCATTACGGCGGGTATTGGGTCCCCATCTGTTACCAGTTGACCGCTGCCGTCCCATTTCACCCCTCAGCGATGGCCGTATCGCGGCGATCGGTACCAACAAGACGGTGCTGGCCGCCTACCCGGAGTCGCGCTTTGACCAAGTGGTGGACGCCACCGGACGGGTGCTGCTGCCCGGACTGGTGGACGCACACACCCATCCCGTCTGGTCCGGCGACCGGGTCGACGAGTTCGCCATGAAGGTGATCGCACGCAACGTTGTGGTGTCAAAAGTAATGATATTCAACGTGGAGTGCTCGAGATAATATTTTTGCTATAAACGGCCCATCGTTCGAATCTGTTGACCAGTTTACTTGCCGTCTGTGCTATGCCAGTGTCTCGTCGGGCGCCTGTGCAGGACTATCCTGCCATAAATGGTTAGTCCTGTGTCCCCATCCCGGTACACTGCTCTACAGCAGGTGTTGGCCACAGCCCACATCTAACGTCTCCTCGCCAGTTCGACCTCACAAACACTAACATCTAACAACCACCGTCGCTCGCCTCCTCAGCTGGCCGGCGCCACCTACATGGAGGTGCACCAGGCCGGCGGCGGCATCAACTTCACCGTGCAGCGGACCCGCGCCGCCTGCGAGGCCGACCTGCTGGAGGCGCTGCTGCCCCGACTGCACCGCATGCTCATCAGCGGTGGGTGCCGCCGAGTGTGGCGGCAGACGTGATGTAATGTGATCTGACGTGACCTATACATACATGACGTTAAGCTTGAAAAAGACGAGACGTGATGGCAGCCACCGGTAAACACCCGAAAGGTCAACATTCGCTTGTTGAGGGCTTAAGATTAATTTATTTTCTTCGCCCATGAGATATTCATTATGCAATACATTATAAAGGCCCCTGGGGAGTCATGAAGTGTGAATTAATAGCGTGTGTTTATGCGTTTGTAAACGGGTGTGCGTGTTTCAGGCACAACGTTGGCCGAGTGTAAGTCCGGCTACGGCCTGAACACAGTCACTGAAGTGAAACAGCTGCGGGTATTGGAGGCGGCGCGGAGTCACACACCCGTCCAGATCTCCTCCACCTTCTGCGGCGCCCACTCCGTGCCCCGGTGAGACATGGGACCCAGGTTGAGGCATGGGATCCTCTGTGAGACATCATGGGATCCTCTGTGAGACATGGGATTTCGGGTGAGACATGGGATCCTCGGTGAGACATGGGATTTCGGGTGAGACATGGGATTTCGGATGAGACATGGGATCATCGGTGAGACATGGGATTTCGGGTGAGACATGGGCTCCTCGGTGAGGCATGTGATTTCGGGTGTGATGCCGGGTTGAGACAGGTGATTTGAGGTTTAGCTCTCGTCTCGAGCTGGCGGAGTGTGAGTGCAGCGCTGACCGAGGCTCTGGCCGAGCGCTGACCGAGACTCTGACCGAGCGCTGACTGAGCCCGCTGGGCGCTGGATTTGAGTTTTAATCGTGCCAAAACCAAACTGACTGCTTCAAATTGCTCACTTTCAAAACTATCCGTGAAATTTTCTTATTTAGTTGCGATGACCATTGTCCGTGAACTGACTAGGTATATGAAAATTGTTATCATGTCCGTCGCATCATTTTTTTTTTTTTTTAAAGTTTCGACATTATTGTGACGTTGGCTGACTTATTGTTGGAAGCGAGTGTAGTGTAACACGTTACATACTTGTCACGTGCATTGAATAGAAAATTATTAGTGCATGATTGGGGGGACATGAACGAGAGTGTTACAGAATACACACTTTGGAATAATGAGTTAGTGAAAGTATTATAAGCATGAAACATGGTGTCAGAAGTGGGGTGTAACCCAGCTCTCACGCTAAGAATAATATTAACGTAATGTTCAGACAATAGGTACTGTGAGCTTTGAGTATCTTATTACCTATTCACTGTGCAAGAATGGCAAGTAACGGGTTTGTCGGATTCCCCATTCCGCCGCCGTTGTCACTGACAGATACAGACGCGCTGACTGCAACATGGAAGACATGGCGACGCCAATGGAATAATTATAGCATCGCAACAGGACTGAATGAGAAAACGGCGGAGGTTCAAGCAGCTACCTTGCTCACATGTCTGGGATCAGAAGCGTTGAACGTTCTCGATGGACTGTGTCCAGATGAGGGAGAACAAAAGCAGGTCGACGTGGTTCTGCAAAAGTTCGAAGAATTCTGCATCGGGAAAACAAATGAGACATTCGAACGATACAAGTTCAACCTGCGTAATCAGGAAAGCAGTGAGAGTATTGATTTATATGTCAGTCCCACGCACAAGGGGGAAAAGCTCAAATTATTGAGCGCTCAAAATATTGAGCGTGTGACGTCAGAGGCTCCCATAGGCGTAATGCTGAGGGCTCAAAAAATTGAGCCGTTTCAGGAACACGTTTTGCAAAAGCAACTCGCAACACCCAGGGAGAAATGGCAACACCCTAGGAGAATGACTAATGATGCAAAACAGATTAGGCTTTCATATTTTTCACTGCTCAGGCTTCAATGATTGGGGGAACACCAATTTATAGGTCGAAATCTTACGGCATGCCAGGATGACTTAAAAACAGGCCAATATTTATATTGAAATAAAAGTGATTTTTTGTCAATTCACGTTTTTTACTAGGGTTCTGTTGGAAAGAGCATTTTTCATACTACCAAAAATGATTGCGACTCAATTTCACATTACCCGTATCGGAGAATATTTTTCGTGTGGCGGCGCCGTTTGTTTATTTCGTCGCGATGTCTCGGGTCGCGTGGTTGTCGTCATTGTGTTGAAGGTAAGTTTTTATCGTTTTAGTTATACATAGATGTTAAAAGGTACAAGGAAAAGTTTGAATATGCTGTAATTTTAAATTTGGAAACACGTAAACGTCAATCAATTCACGTTTTCCTCGATTTGCGTGCAGATAAGAAACTGTCTACGAAAGTGGCGCCATCCGATATGATGTTTTGAAGGAAGGAGACACAACATATTTACGTGAAAATTTTTGCTTTTTAGTGGTCCAAGTGCTTCAAAGAAGCTGTGAATGTTTTATTCACACAATTTTTCATTAGGTATGATAAGGTAAAAGGTAGTTTCAGTCTTAACTTTCATATAATTGACATTAACACATGATAGTCCACTGCTATCAGTGATTGAGTACCTTGAAATTTGGCATTTCATGTGAATTTGAATGTATTCTCTATCCATATGTCCTGATAGTAAGTGAAAATATTCTGCCAATATGTTTTCATAGTTTTCACATTCATTTTCCAGTCCTTTACATAACATCACAATTTATAATCAGCAAAACTCAACTCCTTCGTTACTTCAGAACACTGGCAGCATGACAGACTGACAGTCAACTATTGTGTGTGTGAATGCTGAAACAGGATAGCTACTTTGCTGACTGGCTCATATGAAATAAGATAAAAATGATCCTTTATATAATTTCCATCTGGAGGATCGGAGTCAACGGAAAAGCAAGGCCACTTTCAAGGTCTAGGTTGCCAGTCGGCAGTCACCACCATATTTGTAATATAGATTAATTCATTATTCATACTTTGAGACCCTTAGGTCACTGGATCGACATCACATTTTCAGTTTCAATATAGTAAAGGTTTTTATTTGTATGATGTGAAATATTTTCCTGTATTTAATTATCCCTAGGTACCTGGTAGAGGTTTCGGATTAAATGCTCATTGTTGGTGTGCAGTCAGGACTTTTTTTGACAGGTCCAGACAGGGAATCCTGAGCAGTTTTATAGTAAAGTGGTCTGTTGATCCTTATAATCACCACACATTTCATCAAAAGCATTTGCAGAATTCACTCAATGAAGAATTTTAACAATGTTGCACCCATTCATCTTTTTTTAGTTCTTGTTGTATGACATATTTTCCATTTTGTTCCACTGCATAAAGAAGAAAATCATTTGAGATCACCAACAGCTTTTCTTTTTTCGGCAGATCTGCACAACCAAGCGGTTGCTGGCGAGGACGTCGGCCGTCCCTGTGGGTAAGGTCATCTGCTCAGCCTTTGTGGAGATCAGCAAGACGTCACCAAGATGAAGACTTCGCTGGAGCAGAAGCCGCTGACCCGTGTCCGATCGGGCAGGTCATGCTCGGCGGCACGAGCCACAACTTGAACGACTCGGTGACGTCAACAACGTGGTGGAGCAGGTGAATGAGCTTGGCGACGTGTTGTGCAACTGCAAGAAGGGTTGTCTGCGTGTTCTGGCCGGCGGAGCGGCGACGCTGCGCAGTCTGTGCTGGCGGTGAGCAGCTGGCCGTGGTGACCGCGCGCGCCCACATGCGCCGACAACCTGTGCGGCTTCGACGGCTGGGCACGCTGGCCCGGGACAGCCCGATGCCGCCCACTATGTGACGCCGGGCGTGCACTGTCCGCACGGTCACATGAAGGTGTGCCCGCGCCCTTTTGCGCACGCCGCTACCTCGCAGCTGGTCTGCTACCACGCCCTGTAGTCCGATAACAAAACGGCTGTCTGATAATGCCGCGTGTTCTTTGTGATGTGATAGGGTTGCTATGCTACTGCTGGTCTGATACTCGATGTTTCCATTCGTCCTTTACATGTTAAGGATTTGATAATGATTAGCTTAGTCCGAGCTTAGGTCGTTTATCATTTGTTATATGGCATATTTTGGATCAAAGCATTAAGACACTGCCTCCTGCTTTCGTGATGTATGCTGGCAAGACGCAGGTTCCGGTCGCAGGTCACCCGGTTCCAATGAGGTCGGGCTGGCATGCGATAATGTGATGTCGTTTTGCTCGTCTCTGTGATCCACACTTGATGATGTTTGTGAATCTAACCCACATTGTATAGTATTTCTGTTTGTTTGCGGCCAATGGCCTTGTAAGTTGTAACCGTGGCAATACAGTTTTTCCTGCTATAATTCTCCAATATTCAAGCGTGGGTGGATATCTTTCTGTATTCACGCATTCCCTTCTCCCACTACAGTCAGAGAATATCAATACAGTATTCATGCGGATTATTCAAGCCCTGTTTAATTATTTGAGGTGTGCCGAATCCGAAAGGCGACCGATAAAACCACTAGCGGAAAACGTGACATGATGCCATGGGTTTGTGAAAAGTTTAGGTACCACGTAGCATTCAACTTCCTGCATATCTTTTTTCAACTCAGTTTAACGTATTTCAACGAACATAACATCAAAAAAGGCAGCCAGTACCGGCTTCACATGTCACGGAGAACGCTCAAAAAATTGAGTGTAGATGCTGGCCGGCACTCAATTTTTTGAGTGCCAGCTGACTGTCGTCTGTCGTGGCGCTCAATTTATTGAGTATCGCGGTCCCGAACGAGAAGTGGCGCTCAAAAAGTTGAGCGTCTTTAGGGTACTTTCTTTCCAAGAACACCGATATAAATTATTACGGCGAGTGTTCGAGAAGAAACCTTGTTGTTCTCTCTTGCCATTGATACCTTATTTGGATACGATATTTGCCGTAGTGCGACGCTAAAGGCATTGTAAAATACCATCGTTTCGCCTATTCCTTCATAATGGGGCCCACTCAATTTTTTGAGCGCTCAATTTTTTGAGCTTTTCCCCCTTGTGCGTGGGACTGATGTGGCCGAGCTGAGAAAACTAGCGAAGTCGTGCAACTATAGAGATCTGGAAGAAAGCCTGATCCGAGACAGGATAGTATTGGGGATCCCAGATGAGTCGGTTCGGCGACGCCTGCTCCAAGAACCAGATCTGACATTGGCCAAAGCTACCGCGGTTGTGAAGGCACATGAAGCTACCCAAAAACAAATGGACAGTATGACAAATCGAGAGGGTGCGGAGGTGCACAAGCTTCAGACACAAAGGAGGGACTTCCGATACAAGGAGGAGAGAGCAACGGTGCCGGATCCAAGACGGTCTCAGCGAGCACAAAGTACTCGCCATGGGAGATGCAAATTCTGTGGCCGCGAACACATGTTCAAAAAAGAGCTGTGTCCTGCATGGGGCCAAACATGCCAAGCTTGCGGCCGGAAAAATCATTTCTCCTCCAGATGTCACCAGGCTGAAGTGCATATCACCGCACCAGTCGAACTCGCCGAAACTGAAAACCAAACGAGTCGCGGAACAGAAAGCGTGCTGTCCCTAGATGTAGGGGCTATCTCAGATAGATCTGTGTCTGGCAAGATCTTCGCTCATCTGCTGCTGGAAAACGACCATCTACAAAAGTTTCAACTGGACACCGGTGCAACAGCCAACATCATACCTCAACACGTGTACAAAAAGGCATGTCGTGATCAAAAGATGAGCAAACTGAGACCGTGCACCACTGAACTGGTGATGTTCAACAAGAGCATCACCAAGCCCGTGGGAAAGGTGAAGATGGACGTCATGAACCCCAGGAACGGCTTGAGCTACAATGTGGAGTTCATCGTCGTGCGTGAAGACTTCAGTCCCTTGATTGGATCAAAAACGCTGCAGGAAATGCACCTCATCAGCGTGAGGACAGAAAATATCTTAACGCTGGAATCACAGGAAGAGAATAAGGTTCCACAATCAAAAGAAGATGGAATTCCAAAGTCAAAAGAAGATCTACATGCTAGATACCAGGACGTCTTCACAGGCATCGGCAGACTGCCTGGAAAACTGCACATCCAAACAGACAAAACTAAACCGTCAGAGCAGTTACCAACGAGGCCTGTCCCTGAACCACTGAAAGAAGAAGTTAAAGCCGAGCTAGAACGGATGGAACGCGATGGGATTATTGAGCCCGTCTCGGAGCCCACAGAGTGGATCTCGAGCATGGTGGCGGTGCAGAAGCCAAACAAGGGAATACGAATCTGCATAGACCCGAAGCCACTCAATCGAGTGATAAAACGCAACCACTTTCCTCTGCCAACTATCGAAGACATCTTACCGGAGCTGACAAAGGCCAAAGTATTCACGGTATGTGATGCCAAGAGCGGTTATTGGCACGTGGAACTAGACGAGGAGAGCAGCTATCTGACCACCTTTGGGACACCGTGGGGCCGGTTCCGCTGGAAACGTCTGCCATTTGGCATCTGCCTAGCATCTGAAGAGTTCCAGAGGAGGTTGAATCTTGCTCTGGAGGGACTTGATGGCGTCCGTCCCATCGCAGACGACATATTAGTGTATGGAGTCGGACCAACCAGTGATGAAGCGACAAAAGACCACGATCAGAAGCTGATCTGCCTCCTGGAACGCTGCAGAAAGGTCGGAATAAAGCTGAACTTCGAAAAACTGAAACTGAGACAGAGCGAGGTCAAATACATGGGCCACATGTTCACAGCAGACGGCCTAAAAGCGGATCCGGAAAAGATCAGTGCAGTGACCAACATGCCTCCACCAGTGGACCGAAAAGGTGTTCAGCGCATTCTTGGTCTGGTCAACTATCTGCAAAGGTTCTCACCGCGCTTAGCTGAAGCATCTGCCCCGTTGAGAGCCCTTCTAAAGAAGGAAAATCTCTTCATCTACGAAGAAAATGTCCATGGACGTGCCCTGGCAGAAATCAAACAGATCATCACGCGTGACCCTGTCCTCAAGTACTACAATGTAAACGAAGATGTTGTAGTACAGGTAGACGCGTCACACCATGGATTAGGCGCGTGCCTCATGCAAAACGAGCAGCCTGTGGCGTATGCGTCGAGATCGTTGACTGAGACAGAGAAAAACTATGCACAGATAGAGAAGGAGATGCTGGCGATAGTATACGGCCTCAACAAGTTCGAGCGGTACACTCAAGGGAAAGAAGTCACGGTGGAATCGGATCACAAGCCATTAGAAGCTATACTCAAGAAAGAGCTGATAAAAGCACCAAAGAGACTACAGAGAATGATGCTGGGACTACAGAAATTTCAGTTCCAAGTGGTGTACAAGAAAGGCCAAGAAATGTATCTCGCGGATACATTGAGCCGCGCGCATGAAGAGTCAACCGAGTCTGACGCACCCACTGAACATGTGTGCCACGTCAGAGAGACTGCTTCGGCTGATGAATTTGAAGTGAGAGACGTGGACATCATCGAGTGGCTTCCTGTCTCAAAGATGACGAAAGAGCTGATTGTAGAAGCCACTTCGAAGGATAAGACGTTGCAAGACGTCCAGCTGATGATCAAACAGGGATGGCCTGCTGACAAGAACAGAGTGCCTGGACATCTAAGGCAGTATTATAATGTCAAGGATGAACTGACGATGAGAGACGGACTCGTTCTCAAAGGAGATAGGCTCTGCATTCCAGAGGCAGCGAAGCAGAAACTCAAAGAACGCGTGCACTCCTCATATAGGACTTCAAGGCTGCCTCAGGAGAGCACGAGAAGCCATTTTCTGGCCAGGGATGAACCAAGACCTCGAAAACTACATATCAAAGTGCACAACATGCATGGCCCACGGGAGCAAACAAAGAAAAGAAACGTTGAAGTCACATGAAGTACCGGAACGGCCGTGGCAGAACATAGCATGTGACTTAAAGGAAATAGTTCACTTTCCTGAAATTAGTATTTTGCTATGGATTTATGTTTTTTTATGCTTAAAATGATCAGAAAATAAAACAAAACGTTTTTGTAAAAAGGATTATTTTGTATATTTTAGTATAAGAAGAACTATATTCTATATAAAACAATGTTTGACGCGGAAGCTTATTACGCGTTGACCAATCATATTGCGTAGGACAAACCCATCGGCTGTAAGCAGCATTCTGATTGGCTGACGATGACGTGACTGCATTCCTCAGCAAGGCACGCATTCCTCTGCAAGGCACTCTTTTCGGAACGAAAAATGGAATATCTTCGTCTAGGGTGATCGTTGGGCCGTTAAAGCTTCTGATTTGTGCTAGTCTCAGCGCAAGCAACAAAACTGCTATTCCAGTTCCAAACCCCATGTTAAAAGTGAACTATTTCCTTTAATGGATTTTCAAGGACACTCATACCTAGTAACAGTAGATGTTTACTCTGACTTCATCGAAGTTGATCGCCTCATCAGCAAGAGGGCAAGTGATATCGTGAGACTACTCAAGATTCAAATGGCAAGGCACGGAATTCCTGACAAGGTGATGAGTGACAATGGTCCTCCGTTCAACTCTGCAGAGTTCAAATCCTTTTCTCAGCTGTATGAGTTTAAACACGTCACCAGCTCGCCAGGCTATCCACAGTCGAATGGAAAAGCAGAGAGTGCTGTCAAAATACTGAAAAATCTGATGATCAAGGCTCAGGAAGATAGCCGCGATCCATTTCTCGCACTTCTGGACTGGCGCAACACCCCGACAGAGAGAATAGGGAGCTCACCTGCACAGCGACTCTTCGGCCGTCGGACGAAGACCCTACTTCCAACGTCATCACGACTGCTGGTGCCGGAAACTGTTCGACAGGTCCCGAGTAAGCTAGTCGACCGGCAACAGAAACAGGCAACGTACTACAACAGGACCGCTCAGGATCTGAAGCAGCTGAGTGTGGGTGACAACGTGTACATGGCGCCTGCGCCAGGGAAACACAAGTGGATTCCCGGAGTGATCACAAGCTGTCTCGGGAACCGGTCGTACCTGGTGAGGACGGATAGTGCCGGGACGTATCGCCGCAACAGGCGACACCTTCGCCTCTTCTCACCTGGAGAGACCTGTAGTCACCCGGCAGCTGGATCATCTGACGATGATTACCTGTACATACCAGTGCCCCACATGGGCACTCGGGAGGAGCGGCCGACCCAGCCACCTCCTCTGAGCCGGTCTCCATATCAGCTGAGGAGCAGGTCAAGGCTACCTTAATGCCAGAGGAGGGAAGATGTGGCTTGTCTAGGCTCATGTGACGTGGCTAAGCTCATTGACGCAGTTATTAAGAAAAAGCAGCAGACAACCACCCAGCTCCCAAGAGAGGGACTATTCTTCCAAATCGTTTCTGTACCTACAGAAGGGGAGGTCAGATCCTCCTCAATGTCCTCGGAGGAAGGAGGATGTGACGTTGGCTGACTTATTGTTGGAAGCGAGTGTAGTGTAACACGTTACATACTTGTCACGTGCATTGAATAGAAAATTATTAGTGCATGATTGGGGGGACATGAACGAGAGTGTTACAGAATACACACTTTGGAATAATGAGTTAGTGAAAGTATTATAAGCATGAAACAATTATCCTCACCAACGTGATCATGTCAGAATTAGTCAAATGATAATATGATTTTGTGTTATTCTCAATCATCTGTGAATGCTACGCTACATAGTTTATCATTCCTGGGCAGCTGCAGGTCTCTGGCCATTAATTCCTTTACGACTTCCGTTGGCCGTTTCTCATGAGTCCGTCTCTTATTTTTCGTCCCAATACGTCCTATTCAGTTGATCGTCTTCCCCATGCTTCATTGAATAGGCGAATTGTCTCACCAGGTAGATCATAGATACCACTACGCAAGCCATTTACTGTGGCTCATAAACTTACCGGTCGATAAGCTAATGCTCCCTGATGGATAGCTCATGTTTAGTTAACAGTTATTCCTCAAGGGGCTTCATTCATCATCCCGCTTTTTAGCTTTTCACCAAGCTGACCCTATATGTCAGATAATCCTTCCCACGCACCAGCCATTCATTTCATTCATATCCCGGTTCACCCCATGAGAGAGACATCCAATGCGGCCAATTTTGAAGGATACCATTCGCAGCATGTCATCCGTTCAGTGCCTGCCGTACCGGAACCTGAAACCTGTGCGCCACTCTTTTCATCAACAGAGGCAAAACGTCATCGGAAGCCACCAACATCGTCATCAATGAGATGGTGCCCGAAATAAAGCGTCTTCAGGAGAGCGGCGAACTAGCTGTGGACAGCATAGACGTCTTCTGTGAAAAGGTCAGATCAATCTACCTGTCGGCTATCTCATTGGTGACGTCCCCGGCTGAATACCCCAGCCACAAATGTCAGCGTTGTGTTCATTCAGTGACGGCAAGGTGGATGCTGGCTGTGTGTACTGTGTTAGCTTGGCTTTGCAGTGTCATCGTGTTATAAGCGCTTTGCGTATGCCGCGCTTTTGATCAAAGGAATGTATGAGGTCCTTCGTGAACTTAAGTAGCTTTCAGCCCACAACTTGCATGTCTTTCACGCTCTGACATTGTTAAAGGGACCCTCCCACCTTCAAAAAGTTAATGAATTGGCATGAAAGTGATGTCGCTCGGTTCAGAAAGAGCAAAAACGAATATCTACCAAATTTCATCGAAAAGTATTTACCGGTTTTCAAGATATTAGACTTTTACTTTTGTTTACTTTTTGGGATCTCCGCTGTTCCTAGCGACTTTATTTGAAAGTGCGGCATTTGTTGCGCGCAAAGCAGCATATACCACCGCGTGCTACAAAACGTTTTAGTCAAACATTTAACGGACGTTCGAAAGCCTGATGACGTCATCAGACTCCCGTAATGGTTAAGAGATAGGGACCACGCTGGTCCCACCCTGCAAGTAAAGGGAAGAAATTTCTTGAACACCATAAAGCTGCGGGGGTTGCGACCAGGATAAATGGTGGTTTCTGAGCCTGGCCGCAAACTTGGCTATCTCAACTCAAAACTAATGTTAAGGTGGGAGGGTCCCTTTAAAGCGCATGCTAACCACTGCTCAGCGGCTGAGACGCTCTCCGCCAGCCTCGTGCAGAGGCGCTACGTTCGTCAGCGTACCACACGACAGACAGGACGATATGCTGAATGATCTCACCATTAGAACGGAATCAGGCAGGAGGTGCTGTTTATATTCCGCTGTGACAGCTTTTAATGATCTGCCACAAACCATTCGTGACAAGAACACGCGGCTATTCAAAAGAGAGCTGCGGAGTTATATGCTCCAGCGGCAGCTGCCTGCCAGTTGCGTCGGCTCGTGACGACCCCACTTCTGGGAGCGTGTGATTGAGTGTGTGTTTGAGCGTGTGCTTTTACGTAAGTGATCACCCGTTACGCTTTTTAATGTGACTCTGGTCCTGGAATAGCCACACCTGTGTTGATAGGACCTTTGACGTGAAATAGATAAATAAATAAGCGTACCTACAGGGTTCTGTAACAAACTTTCAATGGCTAACTTTCCTCGCTTATGACAGCAATGGTCACCTTTCAAACACACGGTCTGAGTTGGGACTTTGGCATGAGGTCTATGCAACACCAAGCTGTCAAAGAAAAATTAATGTTGAACCCTAATTAAAAAGTAAGCATACATACATACATACGTACATACATACATGCATACATACGGCTGCTCTTGCAGCTATGGGTAATTTATAATGTAGTACCTAGTTAAATCCTCTTAACACTTTGAGAGACGGCATGATTATGCAGTGTCCATTTGTGCACCTAAAGCGATGTTTTTTTTATAATACCTAATATCCTACCGCTTTTGCTGCGCATTCTATGAAACATGCTCATCTGAGTGACTTAATTGTTCCAGAGATTATAAAATTCGTTGATGGGCTGAATGTAGCACCGATAGACGGCAGGTTGGAGTGTGACATTTGAGGCGAGCGGTGTCGTTTTTCGTTCGCTGACAGAACTGTACCGTGGTGTTCTCGTATGACAAACAGGGCGTGTTCAACGTCGATGAGACGAGGAGGATCCTCCAGGCTGGCAAGGAGCAGGGCTGGCTGATCAACTTCCACGGCGAGGAGCTGAATCCGCTGGGATCGGCTGAGGTAAGAGCTCAGCATTTGGTATCTTTCTCTAATGGTTGCCGTCTGCCGACCATAGTTTTAAGTCAAATATGCTTACAGTTACAATCATCGGCTAAGACGACCATGGGGCATTAACGATAGGTTGGTACAGTCGATTACATGTTGATCGGTAGGGGCTCTGTAATCTGTATCATAGGCGCGGGAGCCAGGGGGCTGAGCCTCTCCGACTTTTCGGCCGGGGCGACTCGTATTGCATTTGAGCCCCCCCCCCCCCACACACACACACACACACTCGACACATCGAAACTTACCAGCAGCCAAATCTATCAACTCTTCTCGGAATGATCATGAAACCGGGGGAGAAACTTATCCGACGGCCTGGGTCGGTGGGTGTGGAATATGAATAGCCTGTGCCGCTTCACATTCAAGTCATGCGGCACAGTCTATGTATGTATACCCGGTACCAGGCGATAGACTGGTACTGATATAGTGGAACCCAAATAAGAGTGGAATAAGAGTGGAACTCAAACGCTTCGATGGTTTTATTTTGTATTGTTTTTATATTGTCATTGTCTGTGAGAAAAACAAGACTGGAATAGTTCCACCGTGACGTTTCCAAGAATTGAATGCTGCCCCGGTGTTAGCGCTCCACTTTCCTCGACCCTATCGAACACAATTATGTGTCTCTGGTGACCCATCAACCTGCTCCGGGTTAGCAAGGCGCCCGTGTGGTCAAATATTGCACCCTATTACATTTCATCTTCTCTTCACCCGTCATATGACACCGTGTTTTGCTCATAATGAGAAATGCACCCGGGAAATTCCCAGCGTCAAAACTGAATTTCACGTCGAACGGCGGTGCGTTTAACAACTAACAAGATCCCAACCTAATTTGCAAGTAAATTGATATCGATGTCCAGCGTCGGAACGCCGGAATATCAAATAAAGCGGTCGGCATTTTCAGTTAAATGGATTTGCGTACGCTTAGGTACGCTTAGGTACGCATAGAAGTGCAAATGGCGTCTAAAAATGTTTCGATGTCCGTCCGCTCCGTTGACTGCCGAACGTCCCGTGACGTGCGCCCTCAGATGGGCGCCGAGCTGGGTGCCGCCGCCATCAGTCACCTGGAGCACGTCTCCGAGGAAGGGATGCGCGCCATGTCGGCGGCCGGCACGGTGGCCGTACTGCTCCCCACGACCGCCTACATCCTGAGGCTGCGACCACCGCCGGCCAGGCAGCTCATCGAGCACGGCGTGCCCGTGGCGCTGGGCACCGACTTCAACCCGAACGCCTACTGCCTCTCGATGGTGAGGGGATCTGTGCGGTATAGGTGCCGAACCGGCAACGGGTACTCGGCAGGAATCGGTATGGTGCCAAGTTTGACCTCGATTTGTAACGGCAATTTGCCCCTCAAAGAAATAAAATACTGAATAATGTATTAGAATACAGTGAAAATATTACAGTTGTCAATATGGTGAAACATCGGATAATATCATTCAAAACCAATTATATTTAAGAGTTATCGAATCTAATTAAATCAAACCGCCTGCCGTTCCTTTCAGCCTCTGGTGATGCACCTGGCGTGCGTCACTCTCGGTCTGACGATGCAGGAGGCGCTGGCAGCCGCCACCATCAACTCTGCCGCCTCGCTGGGCCGCGGCGACACCCACGGCTCGCTGGAGGTCGGCAAACAGGCGGACATGGTCGTCCTGGACGCCCCCAGGTACGGCACGGACGGTAGATAGAACATGCGTTGGGCCCGCGTATCATGGAGGGCTGGAGTCTCGCGGACAGAACTCGTTTCTCGTCGAGATATTTAAACGGTGGGCAATAAATAAAGGGCGATGAAATAAACTTGCTTTAATTGTTATTTGAAGAAAACGGAAGATAATCGTCGTTATGAGTTACGCGTTTGATGTTCGTCAACTGACCGACGCGTCCTATCGTTTCAGTTGGAAGCACTTGATTTACCAGTTCGGAGAGGCGTCCAACATCATCAGTCACGTGATCAAGGCCGGTCAGGTCGTGCACAGTCGTCCAGGAGCGGCCGGACCCGGCAGTCAGTTCTGAATTCTGAATGAACGATGGAAACGTGAAAATTTTATTGAACGTGGAAGGAACTGTGAACCTTTGCGGTTGAATGATTGACAATTTTAACTTGATGGTGGCGAAAATGAGCACAGGAAACCGATGAAAATGGAAGCTGAATGATCAACAGAGGAAGGATGTGGGGTGTTGTTTGTTAATAGGTGTAGCCGGTTATCAGCTGGCGATAAACGTTAAAATAAAAATATGATCCAGCCGTATACAAATAAAGAAGCATTCCACTGAAAGGGACTTTTATCTAAAGAAACAGACTTGTATAATCAACTGTCATTAATGACAAAGATAAGACAAATTCATACCGTTTATTTACAAGTCTTGGGTCGATCGCGCTGTTGATTAGTAGCTGTACCATGTATTCCAGAGTACATTATTTTTTCGGACGCTCCGAGTTGAGTTCATGATGCCATATAAGTTATAGTTGTGCCGTGTGCGTTATAAAAGGCAACATAACTGTCTAGCATAGCATAACTTGTGAGCACTGAACTCCTTTTGAGTCATCGTGGATTATTGGTGACAAACTGATGAAGTTAATCTGTGGTATTATCTTTGTTTCATAACATGTTGGTACTAGGTATTGACAATCTATTTGCGATTCACAGAACTTCAACACAATATTGTTTTTCTTGCATTATTTCGAAGTTGAAGAGGTATGTAGCACGCACTAATATCATTTGCATGAAGGCATATTTCGTTGCGAGGGACTTGTTAACAAAAATTAAAATCGAGGCTCTTTTGAGCTAATTTGAAATAACACGCACTCAAACTAGCTTACGTATGCCGAAAAGGTTCTAAAAACATCGCCCAAACAAACCAATTTTGTTTTCAGCATTCATACCCTGATGTGTCTTTAGGAACGAGCAAAGGCCTCGCTTGGGTGTGACCTCCCTGAAAAGGAGAGGTGGGCGGCCCAGATGAATCTAGAGCATATTTGAGTACCCAAGTGCTAGGTTTCTCTGTAAAAAGAAATGATATGCCAGACACGCGTCGACCTGACGCCCACGGCGTCTTTTACCGCCGCCGTCGCCCCGGGATGTCCGGCCCGCCGAACAGGACGTGTCGCGAATGGCCGAGCGAATACCCGACGCCACGTCACTGTATGAAGGTACACATCACCATCCGCACAGCACCTGTCAACATGAACGGACACTTGCCGACATGACAGGGGTTCTTGAGCGCCAGCGACCTCCCAGTTCAGTATAAAACGGGCACCTCATGTGATCGGCTGATGGACATGCCAAAAATAGCTTTGTCCTGTTGATGTGGATTGTGGATGCATTGCTATAGTGATATTGGAATTTGACGTAAATTCTATTTATATCATTCATAAAAAGACTGATCTGTAGCCGCACTAAAAAAGCCAAGCAATGTCATTTTTGTAGATTCTCGTCCTTTTCTTACATATTTACTAATTTTGTGGAAATAGCTAGCCACTATAGGTAATTCGCAGGATTTTTTTTACAGCAATTTTGACGTGGAATATTTAATGACATGATATATCTTATTTACATCGGTTTCGCCTATTTTATTCACATTTTATTCAACTCCAATTAAAGTTTAATATTGATCTGCTGTTGTCATTCCATCGGGATGGGTCTTACATCCTCATTGACATTCGGATCAAAACATAAATGAATTTAATGGTCACTTGTAGCAACAATTGAGCCATTTGACGGCACATGGATTGGACAACGGGCCGGTCACGAATAAAAATGAATGCGACCACCTTGGTCTAGTCTCGTTTTGTCCGAGCATGTCAGACTGGCTTGGCGTTGTCGGTCGGCACCGTTAGTCTGTAACTTTTTATACAAAAGCTCTGTATAAGTATAGTTAGTGTGAAGAGTCGGTAACGAACCAGTGCTGTCAACTTTGGGAGTCGTTTACACAACACTGCGAAAACGTTAGTCCAGATGCCACGGGCCACCGCAAATATTCATGCATGTGATTTAAGTGACAATAATCCAGGTTTACAGGGTCGCTAATCGGGTTTACGGAATTGCATATCTACATTCACTACATTCAGGGTGTTTCACTAAAAGTGTCAAAAAGTAAAAGGTCCTAATGCACATAATAACAATGTTTTCTATGGACACTTGCACATCATTTCATCCGCGATTGTTGGACATTTGAACATATAAAAATGATATCACCGTCACTCAAACCTATTCCACATATCCACCCCTTCTTTTGATGCACCGTTTCGGCACGTGTTCGGAGGTGCCTCACAGCCCGTTTTCATCTTCAGCGTGCAGACTGTCGGCAAAGCCTTGCATTGTGCTCTTCAGCTCCCAAAGTGATGCGACTTGAGTCTTCCTCAGCTCTGCGAAAGCTACTGACCAAAACCAGAAGTAAAGCGGTGACAGATCGGGGCCTCGCGCTGACCAGGGGCGGGCGGTGAGGCAGCTGATTATTCGGCCCGGGAACTTTTGGTCCAGCCAGTTCTTGGTGGCTACAGCCGTTACAGTGGTTGTTTTGATAACTTGGGGGCTTGGCTATTTCTGATTTTGAAATCAGCTTCTTTTGATCTTAAGGCCCTAAAAAAGACCCTGACCTTTTCAACGATTTCCGCCGAGAGGTGGGGGCGACCCGCCTTTTTTGGACTGGAACCGGCATCAAAGGAACCCTTTTAAACCTCTCAAGAAGCCCTGTGAAACTTTTATAATTTGGGTTGTAGCGAGGTGAGAGAGTGAAACGTTTCTTGAAAAGTCGGCGTACGGTTTCAATGTTTCTAATAGCACCAAATGTAAGTGTAATCCACCCCTCCTGTTGCGGTGTAAATAACCTGTTCTTGTTCTGCATAAGGAACAAAAACGACTAGTAACTTTGGCCACCTGCCCTCGCTCCGCATGAGTGTAAAATATATCTTGAGTGGCCAAAGCATAAATGTCCAAAAATTTGCAACAAAGCTACGTGCGCAACTACGTGCTTTGCGTATTTTATATATCTTTAATAAGCATTTACTTTTTGACACTTTTAGTGAAACACCCTGAGAGTAGAGAGTACGAATAGTATACACTTCAATATACACTATAGTACACTATAGTACACTATAGTATACACTATACACTTCGTATAGAGTACGAAGTGGCTGAGCGACGTTATAATTACATCTTTTTAAACTTATGACCTTTCAGTCACGCGTACATGTTGGTAGAGATACATATATAAATTATGGAAACCAGTTTTATTTGAAGACAAAATGCGATGATAGATTGCTCTGTCTCTTAACTATAAAAATCCTGAACAGTTACCTATAGGTAAATGAAAAATGACGTTTTTCAGATTTCACGTCTTAAGTGATAAGAACAAGGCAGATCAAAATATCTCGCACGTAGATTTAGCGATCGCGGGTGGATAGCACGGCCCTTTCGAGTGAGAACCGCGCCAGCAAACTTGTCATTCACTGCCAAACTACCTCGACCGACTGTGCCAACGGCCAATGGGGAAGTAATTGAAGAGCGGTGAAGCAACAGCACCAGCCCCGCCTGCGCAGTTATGACAGACTGGCCGCTGTTAGAGAGGGTCTCCTGGGACGGCCGCTGTTGCAAGTCAGTCCAGACGGGAATAGCTGTCGCTGGCGGCGGATGAGCGACACCAGCGACGCTGCTCAGGATAATAGCAGCACGGGTTGTTTCTATGAAAGGCCCCGCTTAGCAATCGCTCATAATAGCACAGTTACGACTTACGCAACTTTGAACGGCGGTAGGCATGGGTTTTGAACGGCCCGACGCCATTATCAGAAGCCCGACACGAAGCTGAGCAGTGCGCAGCGTGGGCCGCTCAACAATAACCTGAGGTTAAAATACTAGTTTTTGCACCGAGCAACTGAGTCACTGACCCTTCACACGTTTTCTTAGCACAATGCCGGTCGTAGCCCGAAATGAAGCAGAGATGCTCCATGCCCGCAAGTGCAGAATTTGACACAACCAAAAAAAGTGTATACAGAGAAAAAAATGAATCAGTTCCTTGGTGTCAAAAATTTCACCATCTTGGCTCTAACCATTCTAGAACCGTTTCAAATCAAACGTGTCAGGCGCTCAAGAGCTACCGTGCGAATAATGGCATTGTCCGCCCTATAAGTCGATGGCTGTTATCGCTAGACAGATTTGATATTTCATTCTGGAGGCAATAATGGGCTAAGCCACCCTTCTAGATGAGGTTAAAGTGACCATCCCACCTAACATTAGTTTTGAATTGAGATAGCAAAAAAAAAATGGGTCCCTGGCTTGCACTTACCGGTTTGAGCACTCACTACATCGAAAAATGCCTCAAATCGAAAATATCTAACTTCAAAGTTGCAGCACTTTGGATTCAGAGGGGTTAATGCATTAGAATGCCCCCTCTGAATGTGCGACGTCACCGCAGATCAAACGATTTTAAATATTTTACTAAAACGTTTGGTGGCACGCGGTGGTATATGCTGCTTTGCGCGCAACAAGAGCCGCACTTTCAAATAAAGTCGCTAGGAACAGCGGAGATCCCAAAAAGTAAACAAAAGTAAAAGTATAATATCTTGAAAGCCGGTGAATATTTTTCGATGAAATTTGGTAGATATTCGTTTTTGCTCTTTCTGAACCGAGCGACATCACTTTCATGCCTATTCATTAACTTTTTTGAAGGTGGGAGGGTCCCTTTAATTAATCCATCAATCCTCCATCCACAGCGGCCAGGAGTCGAAGACTGAGGACGGTCGTACGCCTGCGAACGCCGGCTTGTCATATAAGTCGAGTGGATACGGGACGCCATCAACTGCCCATGCCTGCTCGGTAGCATGGTGCACCGTCCACCCAGAGTTCCACAGAGCATTGGTGTGCGTGTGATAACACAGTGTTGGTGCAGTTGATTGCATGCAGTGTTTGTTACCTAAATGCTGTAACGGGTAAACTGATGTTTTTTTTTTCGCAACGATCTTTCTTTGTTTTACGTAACTCAACTGCTAACCAGGCCAATGAAGAGTTTTCATGTCGGTTTGTGTATAGTGTATATTTTTCCATCATCAGCCACACAAGATGATCGTTCACTACATTCATCCGGGCCTCGTCAGCCACTGATTCCATTCGATATACATTTATGGCTGCTGACCGTCTTCAGCAAATTATAACTGAATGTGATCCATCACTTAGACGCGCGCCGTCGAGCTACGCGTCTCACCCACAATAGAAAACCGGTGAATATTTCTCCATGAAATTTGGTAGATATTCGTTTTCGCTCTTTCTGAACCGAGCGACATCACTTTCATGCCATTTCATTAACTTTTTTGAAGGTGGGAGCCGGGAGGGTCCCTTTAAGCAAAACAAAAAATCGTTCCCACTCAATTGCATAAAGCTCTCACGCCCACGCCCCCGTCCCTGTCCCTGTCGTCGCGATGTCGCCGAGGGGGGGGGGGGGAAGCCGGCGCGGTGCGCGGCTCGATGGGGGGGGGGGATGACGCCTGGTGCCTGCGGCGGCGGCGGCGGCGGACCGCTCTCAGTGGCTGCCGGAGCGCGCTACCGTGGGGACGGAGGGGAGGGTCGGTGACGGACGGTGAACGCACGTCTCACGGTGGATGGAGAGCCACGCGATACTGCAGCTCGACATGACAACGGCACGGTAGGTCTACGTTGTGCATGCGAAGACCATTATATGTACAGGGTGTCCCGAAAAAGTTCACCCACGACGAAAACTTCAATAAAAATTTTACTTAGCATCAATGCATCAATCCGCTTCATTGTCACACTGCGCTATCCCAAGACATTGAAAAGTAAATAGCGTAACATGTAGCAAAATTGGTTCATTAAAAAATGAAAAAAACGCTTAAAACAACGATTTTGTGCATGCATAAATAATCCAACAAACACAGTCAACAGTTTTTCCGAGGATAACCAGTAACCACCCACCCCATGCTTCAGTGTAAAGCAAACAAAAGCGATACATTAGCAGTGCTTTGCAGCAGTGCTTCACTGTGCTTCAGTGCCTCAGGTGCTTAAAATTTTGTCCACATTTGTTCAGTGTTCAGGCAGTCGTGAATCCATTACTTGTTGGTGCGCTTTGGCTAAAGGTTTCTTGGCAGTTTTTCCTTCATTCGTACCCGACATTGCTACCTTACTGACAAGCTTGACTGAAAATCTGATCTCCGATGAGCATTACAACATTTCTGGACACGCATTTTGCTTCTATGCGGCTTGCGAATCGTTATGCGGGTCAAATACAGCCGCTAATCACGGTGGAGCTGAATTCCCTTGATTCGGCGCTAAAACCGTATGATATTTTTGAGGTGACGCCATTCCGGCCAAACACAGCCCATTCGCCTGAAACTTTTTCCACTTAATTCTAATTGCATTGTTATAGTACCGTAGAAGTTTCAGATAAGTTGAATAAAATTTGCAGTGTTTAGGATTCTTTGAGTAAACTTTTTTCGGGACACCCTGTATAATGTGGATGGCAACGCTATGCCTCATTCTGCTTACAATTTGGTTTGAAATAATTATAAAAGGATCTCGTAGGATTACAAAAAAAACGCGACAACTTTATAAAACTTAGCATAATTATCTACACATTTGCCTTCGATTTCTCTAAATTGAATAATTGAAGGTTTAGATTATGAGCTGAAGCAGCACAGGTGCATTGCGAAGCATAGGGTTGTGGCTATGGTTTCACAAATCTTCTGTCTGCCTAATTTTCTCGGATTTAGATAAAAATACAGGCACGATCGACATTGACTTGTGTGTTCTTTTTACAGTCGGTGACAAACATCGAGAAGGATCATCCCTTGCTGTGTGGCGGTGCAGTCAGTGCCTAAGATCAGCAAATTAGATCTGCCTAATGATCTCGCGATCCAAGGCCGAGGGCGCCCAGCCACTGACGCTCTCAAGACGGTCAGTTGGAGTCATCACTCTACTTCTGCTCGGTAAGTTCGCCAATACTTGAGGTGAAACGCATTTTTTTCTTCAATTTTGTCATCTCGGTTCATTTTATTTTAGTTCAAAAAGCTACGCGGGAACATTTTCGGCTGAAAACGCTCACGCTCAAATTTTTCATCTTTACTCCTGATGCACTACGCGCGACACACGCTGTGCAGTGACAGCCAGGGATGCGGAGCCGTGGAAATTTCAGACGGCTCCGGCTCCGGCTCCGGCTCCGGAGGAAAAAATCGACTCCGGCTCCGGCTCCGGCTCCGGGTGAAATGTTGTGGTGGCTCCGGCTCCGGCTCCGGCTCCGAGTAAAATGGTCCGGCTCCGGCGGCTCCGGCTCCGGCGGCTCCGGCTCCGACTCAGTACATCCCCTATGCAATCAATTAAATACGAGTGGAAGAAAAATTGGATTGGTTATACGCGTTACTCTTTGCCATGACCGGCTCACCGCGTCCCCGCGCAAACGCACCTCGGAGAGAACCAGGCCCATGTCGTCCCCTATCTCCCTGTGTGTCCAAGTGCACAGATGACGTCACACGAAGGGGCGGAGTCGGGGGCGGAGCCTGGCGCAACGGCCGCCATATTTGAATTTGTTTTAACAGAATGTATTCTATATTTCGGGTTTCAGTCAATTGTTATCGATAGTTTTATGAACGGTTAGCTGTATTATAAGTGATTTATCAAGAAAAAACACATATTCTGCTTGCAATTTCGATTTAAGTACGACCCGCGCCTAGATTCGAACGCACGATCTTTGGATTACGGCGCAAGCATCCTAACCACTACACTACCGCGGCGGCGTGGCGGCCGGCGGAAGGGGGGCTGCGGAGGCATGGGGGTTTTTTACGCATTTTTGGAAAAACTAATGGGTTTAGTGAAAAACGCTTCTTAGATAATTCGAAGAAAAATGTCTCGGCTTTCCGATGATGCACTTAGTTTTGTGCTAGCTTTAGCAGAGTTTGTTCTACAGCGCTTCAAAAATCGCCCATTTGCATAGGACTTAAACGGGACTTCAAGACTTGCCCCCAGATGACGTCACGAGCTGACGTCACGATCAGGTAGAATCGCCGGACGACCCTACCTGGTATATAGGGCCTTGGAGAGAACTGGCAGAACAAAGGACTAGGAAGCGATGGCATTGGAAACGCAGTCGCCGCGAATTGGAGTTCACTGAACCATCGTAAGCTGACACCAGTCTCGGCTGCATTGGGGGGTGGGAGTGGGGGGGGGGGGGAGGGGAAGAGACGGTGCTGGGAGTCGCAGTCCACTGCCACTGGCTTGAAAACAATGGCCGTCACCTGATGACCGGTCCTCATGTTCTGGGGATGCAGTAGACGTGGGGGGGGGGGGGGGGAGGAGCAGACAAGAAGTTGATTGCGTACCTACTGTGGGATACTGGGGATATTCGGCTTTTTTTCATTCACTTGATGGCCCATGACGTAAGTAAAGTACCATATGTTTTACTGCCTTGTACTGTCAAACCGAACTAGGTCAATTATTTTTTTTCCTCTTCAAAAAATAAAAAGGAGCCGGAGTCGCCCCCTTTTTTGGCGGCTCCGGCTCCGGCTCCGGCTCCGGGCTATATTGTTTCACGGCTCCGGCTCCGGCTCCGGCTCCGGGCAAAATATGTCGGCTCCGGCGGCTCCGGCTCCGACTCCGGCTCCGGCTCCGCATCCCTGGTGACAGCAGTGTGCGAAATCATTCACCGGGCTCAAAGAGATAGTCTGGGTAAAAAGGATAGGCTGATTTACGCGACAGTAAATTACGGCAACGCACGAATATAACACAATGCGGCCTTGGATTTATCAACCACGCATGGTTGCATAGCAGAAGCTCCGTGCGAAACAGTGGCGGATCCAGGGGAGGGCAAAATGGGCATTTGCCCTCCCGAAAGCCAAATCGTGTGGGCAAGACTATCTTTTTGCCCCTCCCAAAGCATGTAGCGATGAGCAAATCTAATACGGCGTCGATGCCTATATGGACAAAAAGCAGGGCTTCTGTCCGTGACGGCCATTCCGAAGGAAGGAGCTGGCCACTTGCTGCTGATATTTTGGGTCGATATGCTGATATTAGATTGAACCCCCTGAACTGAATGCATGCATAAGCATATGCAGTGTGGCCAATGGCCATGGTGTGGGCCGTGGGGTAACACGGGGCAAGATGCCCAGTCGGGTAAGACGCCCACCACCCTATATTCGAAATTACCTAAGCAATCCACAGTTTTGTCATTTGTTGGGAGCCTCATTGCTGTGGAGCGTTCCGCGTAAAAAAACGGCGACGTGCCTAGCCGCCATTTTATACCTATTTTTGCATATGTTCTGAAAATGTCAGACCAAGGTCTCTCAAGGTCACGAAGTCACTATAGCTGCACGTCAAGTGACATAACCTAAAAACATTTCCAATGCTTGCCATAGCTAAACCGAGTGACGGATCGCTTTGAAACTTTCAGCAGTTAATAAGGGTAACAGTACCTGTGTACAAAATGTTAGTCACATGATTTTTATATCGATGACCTATGGCTAGGTCATTTTTGCAACCTCTCCACTATAAGTCAATAAGAGAAAATTGAAAGGCACCTTTTTTGGGGGCAAACCTCCTGTCCGGTAGCTCAGTTGGTAAAGCAATGCATGGGACTCCCGGTAGTGAGAGCCCGGGTTTGAGTCGCTCCGGCGCTCGATATTTGAGACTCCTGACGGGGATGGTCTGAGGTTGGTGGGAGCAGCCGCAGCCAGTCAAAGTCAGGAGTGGGACAGGCCGTGTCCGGCTTTGAAGGGCACGTTAAACATTGGCATTGTTAAACGTTCAACTAAATTCTCCTGTCACCCGGAATTACGCGATCGGACGGTAGGGGTCGGGCTCTACGCAACAAGCTCTGCTTAGCGTAGGCTCCGGCTCCCGTCAATCCGCCCTTTCAAACATTCGAGTGCTAAATTTATAAGAAACGTCACTCTTAACAATACCGAGTTACAACCTAAACAGCACACAGTGAACCGGAAAATAGCACCCGTGACCCCTCCTTATGTCCCTGAGGTCATCTCAGGTCTCGAAAGATATGCAATAGTTGCAGCAATTCGCTGATAACTTCTGCTGGAGGCATTCTAGAGCAATAGAAACACCTTAGATGTGTTCAGCTTTACGATACGGATCGACTGATATGCAACACGACCTTTTCCATGGTCATGACTTGACCAAATGTCAAAGTTGTAAGTTCACTTTTTAAGATCAAATTATAACTCATTCGACGCGTCTTCGCGAGAGGAACACGATGCCGGTAAAAGTAAGATCGCACAAGGTTTGACTTTGATTCAAAAGTTATCGCAGAAAATCCGTTCCCGTAAAAATAGTATATATTATGGCAGTTTCCCCTGGAGGCTATACCGTTGATCTTAGGTCCAATCTGAGCGAATTATCCAGAAAGAGCAGTAACAGTGCTATCAAATTAGCTTTTCTGGGGCGCTCTATACTATTCGTTTCCGAGTTATACGCCAGTTCTTCAAAAATTGTCAAAACTGGACCTAAATATTATCGGGATTTGGCCTTTGATGGGCTCTGGTGATCTGACATCTGACCTGACCTTAAAAGTGACTGGGGTAATTTGGTCATTATGTTTGACACTCTGTTTTTGTTTTTGTTTTGTTGGGTTAGGCCCTTTCGGTCGACAAGACCATTGCAGAGCCGGAAGGATGATAGGATTTAGGGGGAGACATTGGTCTGGGCAGGCACCCTAGTGAGTCGCCGGGGCTGAGCCCGTCCAGAGGACAGGCCACCCAGCCCCAAGGCACTCACTGCACCCGGCTATGGGGTGCGCTCCCTCGGGAGCAGCGGTGCCGCTCCAAGGGAGCAGCCCGCATGAGATAAAGTTGCCTGTCCAGCCCGGAAGGGGGTTGTGGCGTGGAGGAGAAGGATTTCAGTATCTTGAGGATAGAAGCACGGATAGGTCTTGACACTCTTTCAAACGCCGCCTACCGCGTGTTGCTACGTGGTCCAGGAGCCGAGTTAGAAGGGATATGGGTGTTCAATCATCCCCCAGGGGCGTGAAAATCCAGGAGCCCCAGCGCGGCTGGCACGGGTTAACATAAGACATTTTACACCATCTTACGGCAAGAAAGTGTAACTGGCGTTGTGAAGTAACTTGGTCACTGGCGCGGTGGTGGGTCGGGGTCGCCGATGGTCGGCTAAACTTTTGCCCTCCCCAAACGGATCGGCTGGATCCACCCCTGGTGCGAAAACCGTCGCCACAGCCGGGTCGGTTCGGGTCGATCATATCCATTGAAAGATTTTCCGATATATTGGACAGCATTCGCGCTCAATCGTTCAAACCTATGAATATATCAAGCTTTGGAGATATTTCATCAGAAGGCTATCTTCAATTTACGGTTCGGGTGTAGAAGGTATACAAAAAAACGCACACTCAGCACTTAAACCTTACAAACGGAGTTTTTTTTCGAAAGCGATAGATGCACCTGACGACCTTGCACCTGACCTTTGTTACTTTCATGCCTGGACAGCGAGCTGACCTACTGGCAGTCACTGTTGACACACATGTCTCAGCTGTGTACCTCGAGGTGGCGTGTGCGTGCAATCGGTGAGGGGGGGGGAGGCGGCTGAGTGGCATGAATTGGGTGGGTGGTAAGTACCAGGCACCAGCCGCCCCCGTGTGGTCAGTCTCCGTGTGATCGGTCCCCCGGCCGGCGTACCGGGCCCCTCGGCACGTGTTTACTGCTCTGCCGTCGTCCAGAGTGACCCTAATGCGCCAGTGCCGCGCGCCAGACGCCGCCCGTAATTACTCCGAACGGGGACGGCGCCGGTCACGCGGCGCCGGACGCAATTAGTTGCGTGGCTGTCACCGGTACGCGGAATCGGTATCGATGGATACTACGACTTTTACGGCACGAGTCGGACTGAACCTGAGCTGAGCTGCGTGAAATTGCGTCCGTTTCTACGAGTATCTGCCACACCGTTATATTTCGATTTTGCGTACTTTGTTTGGCCCTAGACAGACGGTGGTTACTTCATCCGTGTTCCGTAAGCTTGTCCGTGATTATTTTTCGACAAATATATGCAATGCGAACATATTGTGTGTAATATACATGTTAGTGTTTGCCGTCCAAGCGGCGACAGTCGAAACCTGAATCAGTAGAGGTAGGTATACTGTGCCGCAGCACACGTATGTTCAAAAACGCTCACTAGATGGCTCTGCTAACCGAGCGCCTGATGCATGCTGTGCCGCAGTGCCTGCGAATGCCTGTCTACCGCGACATAGCCGAGCTCGGGCGTCTTACCATTCATTGACGATTGTCACAACTGCATGAACAAAACTTCAAATGAAAAACTGAAAAATATAGTTAGCCGCCTACAAGATGACTTTTACACTACAGCCCTTATATACGGCCTTGCTACAGCCTATACCTGAATGCAATATATCTTCAATGGTTGGCTGCAGTTAAACGCGCCTCCAAGTCTATTCTTGTCGTGCCTCTGACATAACCCTACTCCAAAATGTGTTTACTAAGCGTGAGATGTCTGAAGTTTTTAATATTTGTACTGACTGAAGGTATACCTAAGAAATGAGAAGGAAGGATTTGTTTAGTCCTTCCTAGGACAGAATTTAGTTCTTTATCAATTTTATGTCATCACGACGGTTTTTGGTGAACATATGGTATTAAGTAAGGTAAAAATTGAGCCGATATATGTACATCAAAACTGCATCCAAGGTTTCCGTTAGATAAAGCAGCGTTCTGCCCCACCCCCACCCCACCCACACACATAATAAAGGCCAGCTTTATGCCGTTCGTAATAAATCGGAGTTATCCTTTCTGATCACCTGATGCGGGATTGAGCGGCGGTCTTTAGGTGGCCGGTCCATCGGCGTCCGTAAGGCGGCCGAGTACTATCATCTATAACGGGCCGTACTATAGGAGACGCGCGCTGTCGGTATTATGACAGGGACGCCACTTGATGTTGATCCTTAGCTCGGCAATATCCATCAGACCGGGCCAAATCTCCCTCTACGGCCGGGTGCCGCGGCACTCGCGGACACTCGGCCGGGTGCTACACCGCCCCGGAGTGCCTCTCGGCGGCAGAGGAGAGGTTCGTCAGTCGACCCGACCCTCGCCAAGTGACAAATACCCGCCAGCTATTTGCAGTTTGTCACCGAGCCTCACGGCCATGGGCGACCGGTCCCGTCGTAATAGCTCGACTCCAGAGGCCGGTCGGAGGCTTTTCCGGCGTCTACTGGTCATAGAAAGATCGTCCAGTTTATATCCGTATTTTCGCGAATCTGTAAAAATTAAAGTAAATAAAATGACATTAATATTTCGAGCGTTGTCCTCACTCGGGATCAAAGCGAAAAAGGCAGAGTGAAGCTGGTCAATGGTCAATGGTCATACAAAAATGTCAGCCCAGAGGCAGACGCTTGCAAGTCGGTCATAGGGATGTCTGACCATCACGATGAGCATATACGGAACACTCACATTGGAGGAGTTCACCTCCCGGGAAGAGCGGTTACTGGGCCATAGAGCTGGACTCCGGGACGGGCGCTTACCAGTTCGGCCAATGGTGGAGCTCAAGGGTCGACTCCCGAGACGGACAGTTACGAGCCGTTCAGCTGCGATCGCGGTCGACGGCCACCGATCTGCCCACGCCAACCGGTCGCCGGTGATGAGCTTCATAAATAGGCGTTCCAGTTGCCGGGCGGCCAAGTTGGCCTCAGGGAGCTTTGGTCGACAGTCGTAAGAGTGACCAGTGACCACTGACGGCCGGACCGACCGAGACCGGTGGTCAGGTTTTCGGAGAGAGATGGTAACAGTCGGAGAGCGTTAGGCGTAATCAGGACAGCATCAGAGGTGATTGGGGCGGTATTAGAGACGATTTAGGCAGCAACAGAAGTGAAGAACCCCGACTATGTAGACGTTAGAACTTATATCGCCTGTAGATAAAGGTATGCGGTCATTTCGTCCTAACGGCAAATACCATTTATTTGAGTATAACATTTTCTTTGTCCTTCATTCTACGTGGTCAAGAATCGTATCTATTTGAAATATATTTAATACAAGTCAGAAAAGAAAATACTACGCGTTTGAAGACAATCACCCGGCCCGCAGTATTTTCCGATGAGTAATCTTATATTTTGAGTCCGATTTTAGAAAATCTGCAGGCCTCTTGCACCAAACTACCTAGCTCGGTAAAATCGAAAAACCGGTTTCAGAATAAGCTAATCTAACGGTGGTAGATTTGTTTGCAATAGCCCAATGCATAATCCTACATGTGCTTGCTAAATTTTGCACGCAAATTGTTACATTTGAGACTTGGACTGGGTATACGATGCAAAATAATCCAAGCATTGGTGCAAGAGGATTTTGGTGCAAGAGGCCTCTGGTGATGTTTATTGTTTATGTTTCGTTTGAAAGTTTCAAAATCATATGGCACGAGGTACGGCTCTCGCGAGATTAAGCGGTAGGTTTTGCACTTTTACATTTCCGGTTATATCTCAGAAACTAATCGATCTACGATGAAGCCATTTTACAGGACCATGGCCGGTTTGTGAACCAACAAGTCGATCACATCGTCAGACCTTAGATGGCACGAGTTGGCCAGTTAGATGGCCTGACTAAATTTTATAGGTGCAAAACCTACCGCTAAAGTCCGCGAAGCCTGTACCTTGCAAGAAACGACTGAATGCTGGAGCATATACTGCCTTGGCTGGAGCGGTGTATGATGCAATCGATGCAATGAATGCAATGAATGCAATGTTCCATTTCAGGGCCACAGGGCCTTGCATTTCGGCGTGACGCAAGTCGTGGCACGTGCCGTATTCAATCGTTCGTCCCGCATAATCGAATTCGAGTGAGAGCTCCGTGCCGGGCCTGATGATATGCGGAGCTCATTGGTATTTGCGGATGCTCGGTTCGCCCACCAAAATATCCTCCTGAATAGATTTGAAGGGAGTGGCCGATATTGGCTTCATGATATGACCTCTGCGAACTATCTTGGCTTTCAGATGTTGGGGTGGGTAAAATTTCCGTAATGTGTAGGTACTGCCATCGTTAGTTTCGCATCTGTTAAAATGGTGAAAAATTTATGACCTGCCATATTCCTGTTGTAGACAGCATCCTTCACATATACCTACCTACTCGACTTGTTTACATTTGTATACCTCAGGCTGTTGCAACTATTCATGTGGGTAATTTTGCGACGCAGTTCACAGTCTAATCTCAGCTCCGAACTACTGTTAACTCTCACCAGACCTAACGACACTCAGCACTAAGCACATAAGCTCCAGACAAGGGGAGAAGTTCTTCTAAACCACTTGTCGTTTCACCACTAATTCTGCTTTAGTTTGGTGGTAAAACGAGCGTGTTGCTTCGCACACAAGACGCAGCGACTGGAACAAATTATTGATAATTAATTCATTTTAACGAGTGCCGTAAGAGATGAAGCGACGAAAATATATTTTTAGAATCTAACGGTTATTTGATCATCAACACATAAAAAATGTACACAAATAGCGATTGAATGATGAATCACATCTTGCTGAATTCCAACATAATTTAAAAGGGATGCGATTGTCAGACGGCTAACTAATTCTTGCCTATCTAATAACTTATAACGTTACCGGTAGCTAGAATGGAATTCCAGCACGTTTTAACCGCATGTTGCCCTTCCATTTATAGTTTCGTTATCTTACCGGGGTGACAGTTTGTCAATAACTATTCTGTAACTCACTTCATTTGTTTGTTTTCAATCTTTCGTTTTCGACAGGTTCTTTCAGCACGTTACAATTCTTTACTGTGCGCGTCCTTTTTCAATCGAGGAGAGAGGCGGATCCAATCTAAGTGAGCTGCGTGCTGTTTCAGCGGCTCCGGCAGCCGGCACGGAGGGCGAACAGCGCGACTGCGCCCTGGCCACCGTGAAGCCCTGTGTCGACACGCTGCTCGAGCAGGCCAACAACAACGTGATCGCTCACGCCACCAACAGCACTCTGCTGGACACGTGCCGGTGAGGCTCAAACGAGCGGCGGAGGCGTCCTATCGGCGCCGATCCGCTTTAGTTTTAACATGCTTCGCTGGGCCTGCCGATAGTGGTCCCATTAGCGACGCTTCAGCGGGGCACGTTAGCAACCAGCGGCCCATATCGGATAAGGTGCACTTGTCCGAGGGTAAATTGAATAAACCCGTGTCCAGCGTCCGTGCAGTTTTCTTTTCTGGTCACCCCCCGTCAGTTGTTACTGCATGAACTGTGTATTAGTTAGTGTTTAGTTTAGTTTTGACGCACTAGTGACCAGTCAGTGCAAGCTGACGAGCAGCTGAGGCAACAGCAGTGTAAGATTTGAAAAGGGACGGCCCGTGACCAGCACGACCGACGCCTCAGTCGACCGGCCGGCGCGGCGGCGGTATCCCGTCCAGGGTCATCTAAGCTCCGTCTGACGGCTGGCTGACGCATCCGGCGTCCGCTGCGGTCGCCGCTGGTGATACGGTCCCCGCCCCCGCCCCCGCCCCGGGTCGCAGGCGGCCATATGGCGCCATCCCGGCCGCCCGGCCGACCCGTGACTGCACGCCGGGTGGATCGCCCAAGTCTGGATTGGTCTGAGATCAGTCTAGGATCAGTCTGAGGTTAGTTTGGAATCAGTCTAAAACGTCTACAGGCTAATCTGAGGGACTGGAAAGACCTCTGACTGGTCACTAGTCAGAGGCTGAATTAAGACTGACCCGCAGACACTGATTCTGGAATCTGGCCTGATCTGGCGATTGGTCTAATTACTGGTTTGAGGCCATTATGGGCAAGGCCCTATATACCATTATGGGGTCTGGGCCCGGCAGGCAAGTCCCGAGGTAGATAAGTAAATGGTGGCTCTCAGTTTTGTTAGGTATATTGTTATGTGCAAACCTGCATTGTACTTACAGGATCGCTCAACCCCTCGGTTTTATACTCGGCTCAATCCTTTTTTTCTATTTTGCTCCCGACCGGCTACAGCCCCACACAAAAACATTAGGTACGCTCGGCGTCGTCTAACAAAATTAAGCCGGAGTTCAACAGAGTTGACGCATTCGTGACTTTGCAATCATTGAACGCCACGGGGCATTGGATGCTGTTTGTCCTCCCTCGAGTCGAACTGAGATGTTTCCTGTTGAATGTGAGATGTAGGCCGAAATACGGCGACTGGTAGGTATTAGTTGTACGAGTTCGAGCGCTTGAATGCCAACTAGCTGAATATCAATTAACTTAATAGCGACACGAAGTGGGAAGCAAATGCGTAGCGATGAAACTTCGCAGCGACAGGAAAGCTGCGTGTCGTTGAAAAGGCCACCTTTGTAAAATAAGCCGTAAATATTCTGAGTTTGGTTCACACCACAGATACAGCATCTGATGGCTGGGCAGCTCTTTATCTGCCCCATCGAATAAAAACGTCGCCGACAATTCGGCCGCGGCAATCTCGTCTCCGGGCGGCAGCGAGAGAGGACGTTCGAGACATATTGCGGGCCACCGTGGCGGTCGTGCTCGGCAGGGCTGATAGCCGCCGGCAGAGTGGTCCATTTGACAGTCGGCCGGCGACAGTCGCGCCCCGCGCCCCGGGGTCGGCATTGGTCGACGGACGAGCTAACAGCTTCGCGGGACCGACTGACAGGAACGCCGGACCAACGCTCAGGGCCGTCGGACCAGTTCACAGAGCTGTCGGACCAACTCAGTGAGTCGCTGGACCAGCTCAGAGAGGCGCCGAACCAGCTCCCAGCGCCGCGTGTCGCTGGACTAACTCAGCGCCGCGAAATGGTCCCAACCTGAAGTAGAGGTTGTCCCTCGATGTCAGATACCCGGTATGTTTACAGCGGGCACGTCACCGACCTCTTTTTGCCAAAACGGCAAACGTTACCACCCCCACCGACCAGTCTGTCAGACGCGTGTCTTCCCCAGTTGTCTCTCAAACTGTCAGACTGTCGGTTTCCAAGACATGGCTGACAACTGATTGTGACTGTGGCCGACAGGCGGATCCAGGAGGCTATGAAGTGCGTCTCCGACTACATCAGTTCGTGCTCGACAAAAGCCGAGCGCGAGCAGTTCACCAAGACGGTCTCCTCGACCAGCGGTCTGATGGACTCGCTCTGTCAGCCGGGCGAGTTTCAGGACCGTGAGTACGCAGCGGCCACCGGATGGGGCGGGGTGTGGGGAGCCGCTGAAATCCACCAGCTGGCAGAGCGCTGTGCCGAGACAGCCCCATTCAGTACCGAGCACCCAGCGAGCGGCCCGCTCGGCAACTGGTAGGTATGACAAACGGCGTCCCGTCTGGTGTGATGGGGCGCGGTCGGAGGGCCGCTCCGGAGACGGACGCGGGCAGGCCAGGGAGCGCGCTCGACTGAGGCGGCTCTCGGCCGGCCCATCAGATGGAGTGGCCGCTCCGAACGGCCGCTGGCGAGCCCGGGTACTCGACGTTTGACCGGGCCGTCGGCACCAGACGACACGACTATGAGAGACGAGCACATATCGATAAGGACCCGTCCCGATCGCGTTCAGGGCGGGACCATTATTTTCAACGGGAACGAAGTGCCCTGAAATTCCTTGTGGAAACGGGTGGTCCATTTATTTTGACCGGAGTGGCATTTCACTTGTGAATGCAATACATGTCAGCTAAAATATGCATTTAAAACCGTTGTCATTGCCACTGAAAGGTCACATTAGACAAGTGACAACTCTTGCCAAGTGCATTCATTAAAAGGCGCGGTTTCGTGTGTATGTAATCACTGGCGGTCGCAGGGGGGGGGGGGGGGGCCACGGGGGCCATGGCCCCCCCTTTGGTGCTGAAAGGTGGGGCCATACTATCTTTTGGCCCCACCTTTCAGATCGAACAAAAGTCCTAGAAAAGCTTTTCGTATGTTTCATTTTCTTTCTTGCGCCATCAAAGGACGTAAATTTCACTCATGAGTGGGCTCAGTTTCGCATTCTGTCAATTTGGCGGTCAGCGTCGCTGGCACCGGTTCACGAGTATGGCCGGATCTTATATGGAATATCAGCGTGGGTTTACTTGAGGCTCTCGTAGGCCCAGCATTCAGCAATGGCTGGCATGAGAGTCTGAGACCCTCTTCGGCAGTGGCGGGTGGGCCCTGCTAAAGGAGATTGGCTCCAAGACACTAAAGTAAGACCTCATGGGTTGGTGCTGTGCACCTCAGAAGCCCGGTGGTGACGCCGTATGCCGGCTTGGTTTCTTAAGGATTAGCGTGGGACCTCCGGGGCCTGCATAGAGTTTGCATGAGCTAGTATGTAATCTCAGAGGCATGTGTGTAATGTGTACACAGTGGCGGTCGCGGGGGCCGGGGGGGGGGGGGCATCAGGGCCATGCCCCCAAAGGTCAATAAAGGGGGCCATCATATCATTTCCCCCCCCCCCCCCCTCAAACAACCAATGGGCCCCCATATAGGTGTATGGGGCCCTGGCAATTATTCGATCGTCACGAGGCTAAAAAACCCACGCCCAGCTATTAATATAGCTTCCACACCGGTCTTTGAACGTCCTACACTGACCTCTGAGGGAACTTCAGTGGCGGTCAAGCGCCTACGTTGACCGCTAAGAGCCTACATCAACCTCTGAGGCCCCACATCTGGCCTATGAGGGCCCCTAACCGGCCTCAGTGGTCCCAACCGGCGTCTGAGGGTCTCACACCGGTCTCCGGTGGCCTTATTTCTGTCTCTGGTGTCCCAAGACGAACCTTTAGGTGCCAATAAGGGCCCCGCACTGGCTGCTGAAGACCCGATGCCGGCCTCTAAGGGTCTGCATTGGCCTCTGAGGAGGGCCCATCTTGGCCAATGGCCTTTGAGGGCCCTCTGCTGGCCTCTGGGGTCCAACGACGGCTCATGCCGGTCTTTAAGGGCCCCACGCTGACCTCTGAGGGCCCATGCTGGCCTGTAATGAGTAAGGACCCACATTAGCTTCTGAGAGCCCAACTCGGTCTCTGATGGTCTCAAACTACTGGCCTTTGTAGTTTGCAGGCCCTGTACTGGTCTCTGAGGGCCCTAAACTAGCCTCTACATGAAAACATACATGGGTGGGTTTCTTAAGATCAGAGGGCTCACGCAGTCTCCGGCACAGCCTTACGTTGGTCCTGATCGAGATTGCTTTACGTCCTGATGGTCCCGCGCTGATTCCCTCATATTTCGAGGTCGGGACCCCATGAGCCGGTGTGGGTCCTGGGGCTGGCAGAGACTGATGAAGTCCTTAGGGCTCAGGGCCAGTCTTTTTAGCAGTAGGACTAGGCAGGTTGAGTGAGCCCCAACAGAGCCGTTGCGAAGCCCCGCAGGAGTCGCGCGCGGCCCTCAGATGCCAATTCTGAAAGCTCGGAACCTGTGGGGGTCTCCAGAGGCCGGTGTACCTACTCTCTCCCGCCGCCACACAACTAGGTACCTATATGAGTAAATGTCATAGTCTAAAAATGCTCTCTGGGTTTCACATGCTTGTTCAAAGCAAGAGGTATCTGTACTTTTTAGCAAGATGTATCTGTGCTTTTCCGAATTGTTTTATAGTGGTAAGGTCATGAATCCGCGTGCCTGACCTTCCAGTATACCTATGCTTCACCGATCCGTCGTCATGGACGGTGCAGCGGCCCGACCGGTGGGCACACCGTGAGACGGTAAATGGAACTGGTGATTTTGCCTTAAATTGAGCTCAAAGATTTCACGCAAGAATGAGATGGATGAAGCATAACCCGCGCCCCACTGGGGTCTGCGTATAACACGCCCTACTGGGGGGGGGGGGGGGGCTATTCATAGCCCCCCCCCTCCTAACTCCGAAACTACTGGGCCGATCGTCAAAATTCAAACGGCGTCTGATAGCCCCGGAAAAACTGTCGCGCGAAACCTAATTTCATTGACCTCGAGGTCACCGATGACGTCACAGGTCAGGTCAAAGTAAAAATTATTAGCATTTTGCTTGTTCACGTTTTGGGCTCTGGCCGCCGTCTTACAAGTCAGATCAGGCTCATTTTTGGATCACACACTCGTGAACAGATGCTCTAGATACCCCGAGGGTACCAAACTTGTACTTTGATTTTCAGGTCAAGGTCAGGTCATCACAGATCACGAAAATATTATATCATGCGTCGGTCACGTGACACATGTTTTATGGTCCATTTAGGCCAGAGATTTCGAATGTGATGTCGTCTGTGTCATTCGAGGTCATTTTGAATCGAATTTAGCTTAGGTCAGGTCACTTTCAGGTCAAAAAAGGTCAAATTTTGAAGTTAAAATTTTTCAACAAAAAAGGTGTCTATTGGATGCAGTTTGAGCTCAGGAACACGATGGTGCTATTTATATTGGCGTACGATGTCAAATACGTGCTGAAAAATTGATTTGAAAATTAATAATTGTGAATTATTTGCAATAATGCGTAAAACTTGGCCATTTTTGAAGATATTTAGCTAAAACTTGCTAGAGCTAGTCATAATAATGCGTTCTATCACATATATTCCGGTTTTTTCGAAAAGTCAAAAACTTTTTGAAAAAAATGTAAAAATATAAATTTTGGATTTTATTATATCAAATTTTCGAAATTTTCAAAATTTCGAAAATCCGAGATAGCAATTTGATAGGGCAGTCTATTTTGAGTCCTCTCATGCAAAGAAATTGGATGTAGCTTAAAAACTGAGCTCTTGGGAGCGATTGCCGTGGTTCAATGTTTTGCGTCGAAATCGGCCGAACATGACGTCACTCTGACGTCATTTCCGGCCGACCTATGGTAGCTACGAAGTTAAAATTTTGACACAAGGTGTCAAATTGATGCAGCCGAAGGTACTGAAAGTTTGGCGTCGATACGTCAAGCGGTTTGGAAGTTATCGCAGAAAAACGGGAGGGGGGCTATAAATAGCCCCCCCCCCAGTGGGGCGCGGGTTAAGTAATGCCAACTGTGCGGCGCCTCGTGGACGTAAAAAATTAGCCGATCACCCCCCCCCCCCCCCTCCCGGTGACGGAAAATGTTATGTCCCGCGAGCGTGACTTTGGCCCCCCCTTTTGCTAGCGGCTGCGACCGCCAGTGTATGTAATGTTCCGACCTCTTTCCCATCTGCAGCGTAATTAATTTTGGCCGACAGAGTTTCTGAAGCACGTGCCGTGCCTGCGGTTGGTCTCCATCGACTACAACTACTGCGGCCACCTCTACAAGAAATTGGTGGCGCACATCGAGCGAGGAGAGGATCGTAACCCATCGCCGCAGGTCTGCTGGTAAGTGGCCAGCGTCCGTGTCGCAACCGCTAAAATGGCATGACCAAACTCTGCAACCGACATCGTCCAATCCACTGGAACAGAGGCGCCCACTGAAACAGAAACTCATTGAAGTTCGACCGTTCCGATCTTATCCCGCGCTCGTCCGGTCGCACCCCTGTCTGGCCGCTCAGTTCCGTGTTGTGCCCGTGATTGCAGTACTTTCAACGAGTTCACCAACTGTTCACGGGCCATGTCGCAGTCGCTGTGCAGCAGCGAGGGTGCCGAGTTCGTCGACCAGTACCTGGACCGCTTCGGGGACGCCACACTGACGGTATGGCCGACTGCGCACTGGCGTCACGCAATACCTGCGGATTGCACGTAGCTTCGAGCATAACGTGGTGTCATTAGTGAGCACATTGATCGATGGACATAGACATTGATATACTTGTTTTACAATATGTAAGCATGCTGAACAGACACGCTCAGCCTTTCTATAATTTCAAAACATATGACATTTAACATTTCTCCTTGAAACCAGACGGTGTAAACTGTAAATGACCAGATCTTGTCAGACCAGATGTTGCTTCGGATATCACGTCACCGTGCCTTACTAGCCCGACCAGTGTCAGTGTATGACAAACCGAACTCTGTTTCCAGCCGGCCTGCAAGCCGTACCACGTGGGCTCGGAGCTATGCCCCCGGTCCGGGGCGGCGCCGGGCCGGACCGCACGGTCTCTGACCATGGTGGTCGCCTCCATGCTGCCGATCCTGCTGCTGTCGTTACTGCTGAGCGCAGCCGAGCGGGCACAACGTCCCTGATAGAAGTCGCTGCGGGCGTGTGCTTCTACGGCGTGCTCGAACAGGACAGGGCAGAACAGAGTGGACAGGACGGGACAGTATAGGACAGAACGCCGCCCGTCCGCGGTTACCGTTCACGGCCCGGTCGGCAGTCAGTCGCCGGGGCTGGATCTCACGCGCAGTACCCCGACCATGGTTCTTTCCCGCGCCGAGACTGGATCTCACGCGCGGTATCCCACCCGCGGGTCCTTTCCCGCGCCTGTGCCCTAGCCGTGACAGGCGGCGTCGCCCACATCATGACGAGGATCACCACGACGGGGATATCAATGCAGGAAAACGGACACGAACACCAGCTTGAAGATACGCGCATGAACTTTGTCAGAATAATACTGTGCTCTAGAATACTGTGCTCTTTTGTTAGCTGGATGTCTGGCTACGACTTGACGAGAGTAACAAAATAGCAAACATCAAATAGTGCACGGGTGACACCCCTGTGCGACAGTAAGGAATGGGCGCGATGCTGTTCACGCCGCAGCGGCGACCGAGACCGCTGACTATTTGTCGGGTTGTGCCGATGTCAGCGACAGTGAAACCCCTGGCCGACACATCCGTCTGCCATGTTCATGCTACTGAATGCGCGAACTACGGATGTTCATTGGGTCACGGACTACGGATGTTTGTAGCAAGTGTGACGCTCTACAGCATCATTAATCGCATCGAAATTCTGCCTATGCCTGCACGAAGACGCAGGGCTGTGCCTGACGTCACTCTCATGCCCACTCCAAAAGCTGACTGCGTTAATATTGAGCTTGATAGACTGTCCCTTTCAGAAATCAATTTGAAGTTTATAAAACCACCTAGATAATATGTGCTTCAAGGAACGGTCAAATATCTGACGACAATATGCACCCCCATTTTAGCATTCATCAAATAATGCAACTGTTCGTTACCCCTACAGGCTACAGCACTTTGAGTTGAAGATGGCACTCACATTAAAAATAAAATACAAGGAGTTATGTCATACGTCTTCTTAGATGGGTTGATATTATATTACCGAGAGCTGCTGACATCGAATGAAAAGGTTCGGAACTCGTTAACCTTTCATGTAACATCTATTACGGTTTTTTATTTTTGTTTTGTTTTATGCCATAGATCTCTGTATACAGAGGTCTATGTTTATACGCGTTTACTTAACCAAGAAGCGAACAATTGTTTAAAGTTTATTCCCGTGTTCTGTCAGCCGTGGAAGCCGATCGGATAAATTTGATACATCATAGCTGCGCCAGGACTGAAGTGTTTGTTCGCCACAGCCGCTGCACTCTGCCGCACTGGCTGTAAGCGGATCCGAGAGAGGGGAGGGGGAGGGACGGCAGGTCGACGAGCGGGGCTTCATCCCCATATAGACAAATCACTGACTCTGTGCCGCACAGGGGAGTGTAGAGCGCCGGCTGCAGCGGAGCAGCCGCGTGTTGTCTGTTCGCGCTGTGCCACATCTCTCAGTCACGCCGCCGGCCGGCTGTCGGAGAGCAGCCTGCATACGGTAGCAGCGGTGATTGGGTTTCAGACCGGGGGGGGGGGGGGGGCGCTCGTCGTGTGGTGCGTGGATGGGATCGGACGATTCGGGTCATAGCTGTATTGGTGCTGATGTGAGTGCGTCAAATGTTGGCCCTGGTGCCAGCTGTGTACGTGTGTAACACGCCCTGCTCGAGGCGTACAAGGATGGGCGACATGTGAATGTAGAACAGAGCATGTTCATCAACCTCAGGAACGAGGCACATTGGCAGCTAAAACGGACGTGGTATAAACGGAAGCATGTGTTCATTCCGGCTCTGTATGTATATGCGTTTCTGCCTCAACTATGTGCGTAACTGAGAACGAAGTGTATGTATGTGTATACGTATAAGATGTGTTTACATGCCGGGGAGTATACAAACATCAGTATACTGAGCGCACTTGTTTTACATAGTCTTACAGTCCTCACTCAAATAATTCACTTCTTTCCGACCCGGAAACGCAACAGTCATTATAAAGGACGGCGTCCGGCCGACAAGAGACGAACAGAGACGGGCCCTGAAACACAAACATGCGGGTGTGTCTGAACTCCAGTCGTCGCGCTGTGCTGGTTGAGAAGGAGTTTATGAACTGAGCGCTGAGGCGTCTATGGACTGGACGCGACGCGTATATGAACTAAGCGCCGTCCGTTCTGCGGTGGTAAGCGTATCGGAGGATTGTGTCACAGCTTTTGAGCGTTGTGCGCTCGCATGCTGCGTCTAGCAATGTCGATGAGATGTGGAATTTTCACGAGATAAATTGTAAAGCCTTTCCAATCAGTGATGGCCCCCGGTTCTGTGTCAAAACATATACGTATGATATGACAAAAAAAAATGTTAAAAGCGCGTATTACGTCTAAAAATTGTTACGAATATCGCTATTTTGTTGAAAACAATAAATCTCCATGCACTAAAAGCGATGTTTTTGATTGATGGGCGACTGATTGAAACCATTTTGGGGTTATACCACACCTGAAAAACATTTCTCCCCACGCTTAATGCATATCAGATTCAATAGTGCGTAAGCCCAATCAGCACATGGCTGTCACAGAAAAATAATTGCCCAGTCCCGCCCGTCAAATTGCAAACAATTATAGGCTAGGCTGGCTGCCCGGGAATTTATAGATACAGTTAGAGGCGGGATGGAGACTGGGCTCTAATTGCTAGGTCAATACTACCCGAAATATGACCTGTGACAAAGCCGTACATCACAGCCTTCAGCTGTGAGAAATGACATATTATGACAAATGCTATCCGACGGCAGACAGCAGCGGAGCAAAGTTAAATGCGACGCTGATTCTCGAGACCATTTCAAGACAATCTCTGCCATTTTGAGAAAGCAAGCTTTTCACTTAATCTCTGTCAGATGGAGATATAAAAAGGAGCTGTCATTCTTTTCAGTCGACGTGTATTTATTGCCATTTCTGTGTCCCAGATGAGCACGCGATGAGGATGATCAGCACTGGTTCGACGTTTGATGAGATCGGGGCGCATGACAGGACCGTGGGGAGAGTCACTGGGCACTGGCCCGCCGCCAGCGCACACGTGGGGCGCCCGCGGGGCCGCACTCGGCGACTTGGCACCGGGGTCGTCTCCACCACAGCCACTACATTATTAAAGTACACTCTCTTGGATGAACCCCTCGGGAGACTTCTCACCGAGATGTTCCCGGATTGGCAGATAAAAACCGTGCGTCCGTACCTGCAACGCGAGCGGCGCTGGCAGCGGACTCCGCTTACCAGCCATATGGTAGATCCACACGGCGGGCGCACAACGCCATGGAGACACCGAGACACGGTACCAGCCAGTCACAGTGCGGCGCTCACCCGCTAAACGCCGTGAAGTAGGTGTACTTGACGCGCGACACGTGCGTGCAGAGCGCCAGCGCGTCGCGCTCGCTCAGTTGCAGCACCTCCGTCAGCGTCGACCACGTCAGCAGCATGAACGACACGCCGTCCAGCTCCTGGCAACGGAGGAGCGAGAGAATGTCGGTAACCGCACACACACACGGGAAAACGCGTCGAAAAACGCACAATTAACATATACAAACAGGTACGCACGACTGGAAAATGGTTACATACGTCGTATTAGACTTGTCATTTGGAGCATGTTTCTTTTATGTTAAAATCAAACTGATACCAATTTGGTATCTGATGTTTGGAGCTTTGGTATTTTGTGTGATTTTAGGAATAGGTACTGGTAAGGTATATGGTTTCCTTCACGGATTCAGTGGTAATTGGACTGTTTTTGTTTCCCAATGCACTGAACATGACAAAACTGTAACAGATGTATCTCTGAGGTACGCCATTACTCGAGGGCAGCCAATTCACGAGAGAGAAGGTTCTGGACGGCAGACTCTGCGTTTTTCCAGCCGCACGGCCGGGAATTTCGGTGCGCTGCGTGGTGTCATTCCCACCATCGCAGCGGCGCTGTTTACTCTGCGACAACGGCTTTTCTGGTGCCATCAGGGAATTCAGCGGCTTTTCTGGCCACACCGGGGAATTTCAGGAATTCACACACATCGGCCTGTACGTAAACAGGGAAACTCGGCGGTGGCAACTCGTCTTATGGAGGCCTGGGGCCAGAGTAACTCACTTGAGGTTGCAGTAACTCACATGGGACCGAGGTGGCTCACTTGGAGTCAGGCTAGCTCATCTGGGGTCGGAATAGCTCACATGGATCCCATGTAGCTCACCTGGGTCCAGGGTGGTTCGCCTGGAGCCGGGGTAGCTCACCCGGGGCCGGGTGGCACACATGGGGCCAGACTAACTAGCTCACCTGGAGCCGGGGTGGTTCGCCTGGAGCCGGGGTAGCTCACCCGGGGCCGGGTGGCACACATGGGGCCAGGCTAGCTCACCTGCTGTAGCAGACTGGGCACCAGGTGGGCGCACTCGGTGGTGCTCAGGTACTGGGCCAGGTCGGTGGCGCCCCACAGCCGCGGGCTCTTCTCCAGCGCCACCTGATACAGGGCCGGCCGGTCGGGTTTGGGCGAGGGCGGCTTCCGCGGGGCCGCCGCCGCTCTCTCTCCGTCCGCCTCGTCCAGCCACTTGGGCCGCCTGCCGGCGCAAACACACATACACAGTAATAACGGAGAGCAAATAGGAGACCTGTGCTGTCAGGCACTGGATTGTCGACCCAACTGAAAGCATAGTTTGCCTAGCATATTGTCAATTCAGACAATAATGGATGTTGAACGAGTTTACTCGGATGAATGGATAGTGAACGATGCGGCAGATTCGTTCCCTGAATTCTTTGATGACGACTCGAGACACACCATTGGAAGTAACTGTATAGTTGTACGGACATGCATTACAGTATGTACGCTGAATATCTCAAGACTAGCCCATTCGCATCTTTGATTAGACTACATTGTCTGGGCTAACACTCATCCCAACAGACAAACTGGTGATAGGTCAACTCCAATAGGGGCACCCTCCGTGGTGACCGTTTGGGTGGCTGGTTGACCTGTCCATCGGGACACACCTCCCAACGAGCCCGTCCGATGCGGCACACTGCACCAGTCGGTGGTCGACTGAGTCCATTGTCTCACCCCTATCCTCACAGCTCATGACCCTAAAATGAATCTCAAGAGACCAAGAGGTGTCAGCCAACAAAACAAAACAAATTAAGATCGCAGACAAAATGTGCGGCGAAAGATTTATTCCAGGTATAAACCTCAAGCACCAGTAGCTAGTTATCCTAATATTATCCTAAACTACAAGCATCCTAAAGATAAAACTACCTAATGCAGTGCTTTTTTCAGTCATTCGTGGTAGGAAATACACAATCCCTTTCTGCTGTCTTCTCGGCAGAGAAGATTGCTTGGAAAGTTACGTAAGGAAGCAAGATGACGCTAATTTTTCTTTTCTTTTTTAATTTCTGTTGCTTAATGAACCGTTTTACTGCGTGAGTGTCATACTTGTAGCGAAACGCAATCTGCAAAGAAAACATTTTAGAAGTGGACTGTACTAGCGTAGCAGAGTTTCCTAACTTCGAACTGGCGCGATGGTCTGGCGGGTAATTCGCCCGCTCAAAAGTTTAAATTGGTTGCTATGTTTGAAGGCTGTTGAAATTACTCTTGTAACATGTCTGACGGGGTGCTGCGATTTGTTACTCGACGTGGGCCTGCTGGATGGACAATCTCCGAACCGCCGACCTCTGCGCGGGCTGTGCGACCCTCAGCGCGACCCACGAGTAAAGATCTCCAGACGTGAGCCGTCCCGCTGAGATCGGGCGCCGCTGAGTGTGCCGCACCAGCTGTGTGAGGTGCGCCGATGGATCACGCCGGTCTCTCACTGGCCGACAGGCCATTCCCTCCACGCAGCTGCCCGGCCGGGCCACCACGGTAACCGTCTCTTCAGGCACAGTTGGGGGGCGGCCACAGACATCTCAGCTGGTCTCAAAAGGAACCGATAACAGCCGGACCAGGGCCGGAAGTCACCGGCCTCCGAGGGCACTGATGATGATGATTGGACGGGGAAAGAGGGAGAAGAGGAGGCACCAGGAATTCATCGGCCATTGGCGCTCATTCAGAAGGTCCGGCGCCCATTCTAGGGGCATTGGCAGCATTTGAAGGCAGAGCTGAGACTGATAGGAATCAAACTCGTCTCAGCCGGTCGCTGAAAGCACCGCTCGACCCGGGAGATGAGACGAAGCTCGCCCGATGATCCGATCGGCCGGAAGCCACGCCTCTCAGCTGCCGACAGGAAAATTATCCATCGCCGCCGATGTGGAAAATTCCCGCTGAATTACCGGTGCGCTGATGAATTGAAGGCAGCTAGTGTCGGCCGCTGGAGCGACACCGATAGCCGTCACCGCTGGAGTGAACGGCCAACAAGGGAGCGAGCCGTCTCCATGCAAGCGCTGTGCGTGATGTCCGGCATAACCGGCTAGCATTTCTATGGCATCACTTAGCGAGATGTAATCTGCAAAGGTCAGAATCCATTACGCAAGCGAAAGGGATACAATATGTGCTATTACATTAGCTAACTCAAGCAGGTAAATCGCAAGGAACGAAAAAGGAAAAACGCGAAACCTCCCGACAATTCGTCGCCTCGCAGAGCTCATTGGCTTACAGCTCAACTCCAATTTCACCACTAATTGCGAGCAGTTCATCCAGCCTAGCCTGTTGTTTTGGTTCCCGCTCAATCTATCAAGGGCCCACGGTAGTGAGAACAGGCCGTGTGCGCCATTCCCTCGCCCGTGCAGGACTCTTCACAGCCGCTAACGCGCGGGGGACTAAACCTCTCTTAGCCGTTCGACCCTGATTGACCTAGAACGTTGAGGAAAAAAACGATCGCATCGCTCGTGATGACGAGAAACCAATCATAAGCCAATCAAAACTTAGCATGCGCGGCATATCTGCAACCCCTATTCAGAAAACCACATCACTGTGGTTTTCACTCTCGAGTACCGCATCACTGACCCCTAAAATTGATGGCGCGATTTCGTCTATCAACTGGCTGCAGAATGGCGACGCTCCGCGGAAGCCGTGTCGTCTGGCCGCCCAGTTAGTTAATCTCGGCGGGCGGCTCGGACCGGGCCGGGCCGGTCCGATACGTCACTGTGCCACCCTCCCGTCTCGGATCGTCCCACCCCCGCTCCCCGGCTCAGCGAGTTCGGCCCCAGGCGACCGGAAGATTAGTCTTCCGGTATTAGTCCAGCTTCCGGAAGAGTATTAGTCTGTACAGCTTCATGAAGATATCGACGACATAGCTCACAATAGTCGCCAGACATGGTCACCCTATCGTCTCTATTACCTATAAAATTTGCCTTCTTTTGCGGATTATCCACAATGCGATAAATCCCTATGATAGCCTCCAACGAAAAGTCCCTAGCACTCATTTCGTAGAATAGCCACAAAACAGCTGTAAATAAATGCCGAATATCTAATATCTAGGTATATTCTGTAGCAAACGTTCGCCTTTCTTTCACCAAATAAAGTTCCGATGTTTATTACCACCGAGGAATATACATTTTTGGACGATACCGCGAAAACGAAATATTTCTATCGAGAGTTTTCAAAGGATTTCATGCACGAGGCCTTGGCCGAGTGCATGAAATTCTTTGAAAACTCGAGATAGAAATATTTCGTCGCGGTAGAGTCCTAGATATTGGGCCTGTTCCAGCGCCTCCAGAAACCTCCAGAAAGCTCCAGAACAGGGGTGGATTTTTTTGTTTTTTTATTGGGGTTGCACAGCCCTGAAAGGGCGCCCAAAGCGGTTCCGAGGGGCGCAATAGTCCGGAAGTGGGCGCCACCAGGTACGGTCGTAAACTTGGCGTTGGGGGGGGGGGGGGCGAATTGGCAAAGGGGCCCCTGTAGACCCTCGCTGGGGGGCGGTGTCACGGTTCGTCGGAAGGTCATCTCAGGCTCAAAAGAAACGATATATACCATTCAAAAGCTGACGGTGAGCTGAATCCAAGAATGTAATTTTTATCAAAATCGATCGATGGCCTTTTTTGAAAATTGCGTTTTTGTAAAAACTTCATAATCTTTTATTCAAAGGGCTGTCCCGGACATTCTTGAAAACAAAAACATGTATTTTTGAGTTACAGTGAAAGATGAACGCCAAAAGAACAATATTTAGCGAAGCAATGTTTCCAAACATTAATATGCGTCTCCCACAGCCGACAATAAGGCGCAATCACACAGCTCAGTGTCACGATGGACCAAAGTCGGCCACACAAGCGTGAAATGACCCTTATCGACTTGCAGACCCGGCGCTCTCGGCCCGCCTGACCGGCCACGGAATGAACGTTCGGCTCTCGTTCTACTAAACAAATGTCATATTTGTCAGTTTAACTGTCCACATCGCTATTAAAGTTATTCAGGATACCTGTGAAGAAAATTCATTGTTCTACTTGATTTACAAAATGCTTTAATTTACATTTTTCTTATACATGTTTTGTTCCATCCAGCTGCGCTCAGTGCCCGCGCAGGGGAAGTGAGCGGGGTTTCACTGTCAGAGGCTGTACTGGTGACAGCTGCTCGGCCGCGTGACCGGTCAAAGGTTACCCTGCCCCACTGGGCGCTACCCCCACTCCACCCGAGCTGAGGCCGGTGCAACCTCTGACATTTCAGCGCGGCCCATTTTCCTTATATGGGCATGATACCAAGCTCAATTGAGCGAAGTAGACATGAACAAATGCAAATTAATGCATGATGTGAAGATGACAGAACAATGAATTTTCTTCACAGGTATCCTGAATAACTTTAATAGCGATTTGGACAGTTAAACTGACAAATATGACATTTGTTTAGTAGAACGAGAGCCGAACGTTCTTTCCGTGGCCGGTCAGGCGGGCCGATAGCGCCGGGTCTGCAAGTCGATAAGGGTCATTTCACGCTTCTGTGTGGCCGACTTTGGTCCATCGTAACACTGAGCTGTGTGATTGCGCCTTAAGGCCACCGCACACTATCCATTCGGCCGGTTCATTCGGTCGTTACAGCGGCGATTTTCTCGCGCAAGTGTCTATATCGGCCGAATGGCCGAATCGCTTAGAGCAGAAATATCGTCGTTGAAATATCGCCTAAACTGTTGTAACCGAATTCCAAGAGCGCAAGTAATGAATGTTTTATAATGAATATTGGAAAAGACCAAATAGAATCCAGCTTCATATATTTAGTGCATCGTTCAAAAAAGAAACAAAATTATAGGTTAATTGCAGTTTGAGTAGGTAGCTTGCTTGATAATGAAAACAAATTGGCTGTTAAAAACAAACATTGAGCAAAGTACACCGACTATTGAGTTCTAAATGGTCTGAGCATATCGCAAGCGATTAACCAAACTTAGCAACATTAATGTGCATTGTATTGATGCTCTGGGACCAAAAGATTTAGTTATCTGCATGCTGAGCCACCAAACAGCCCGTACACACTTCAACTAGCCATCGCGATACTGTACTTCAAGCTGGCACTCCAGAGGGTGCAGGAGAGACGCAGACCCTTGGTCCGGCGCATGGGGTCAGCGACGTGCTGCAGCGCCGAGACGAGCTGGGCGAGCACGCCAACCGAGAGCAGGAGCTTCGGCTCAACGACCCCCAGCGACACAGGTTC